GTGCAGAGGCCCCCTCGGAGGCTCCTGGGAGCAGACGTGCAGTGAGGTGGAGAGGCATGGGGTGGGTGGTACAGCCTGGGCAAAGGCATGGAGGCAGGAAGGAAGATGGGAGCCCCCAGAGATGGAAACAGAGCAACTGACGTTCATTGGGAACGGCCTCCTGGGGCTCTGGAGCTTGCCCATGATCTAGTCTAAGGCTCCCAACCGCTCCATGAAGCAGAATTCCTGCCCCACTTGATAGAGAAGGACGTTGAGGCTCAGGAAAGTCAGGTCAATGTGGGGGTTGCACAGCAATAAAGCAGGTGCCAGCACTAGTAGCCAGGGCACTCTGATTCCAGAGGCCCCTTGGGACATCGTGGGTGCCAAGGTGGACAGCCCCCTGACCACTCCTACTCCGGCCTCCAGCTCATGCCTGGGGCTAGGGCGCCTCTTGGACTCAGATCTTTGGGGTAGGCACTTGGGGCAGCTGGGGTCCTCAGGGGCGCCGCCAGCCCGAGGGTTCAGCTCAACCAGGCCTGGCCATGGCCACGTGGCCAACGGGATTTCCGCCATGTTTGGGGCATGAATTGACAAGTGCCCCATTGACGGGGCAGGGGGAGGGGGTGGGCAGGGCACAAGCCTCCCACTGTGCCATGTCCCCACCCTCCCCCGTCCCCCTGGGACAATGGCCGAGACTCAGCCAGCGACCACAGCTGGTCGGGGGGGAGCATGAGCGTGAGGAGGGGCGGAAGGGAGGGGTCCAGGGTGGGGGGCCACCTGGGCCCTTGCCTGCCCTCATCCGCACCTGGCCTGGGTCCTCTCGGCTCCTCTCCTGCCCAGCTGGGTGGCCTTGAAGAGAGGAGGGGAGAGGAGAGGAGGGGGCTTCCTTCCCACAGCCCAGACCCCAGCCCACCCGGGGAAGGGGCACTGTCTGGCTCCTGTTAGAGGCAGGTAATAAAGGGCCTAATTAATGAGGAGCAGCTGGGATGCATAGCTCAGTGGGGCGGGGGCGGTGCCTGGAGAAGGCCCCTGTGTAGCCGTGGACCCCCAGCCACAGCACGACCGGGCGGAGGTCCCCAGGCCCAGGCCAGCCTGGTTCTAGTCCCCACCTGCCACTTTTCTCAGTCATTCCATGAACATTTATTGCGTGCCTACTGTGCACTTAAGGAGTCTCAGGGTGGCGCAAATGGTTAAGTGCTCAGCTGCTCATCAAAAGGTTGGTGGTTCAAACCTGCTCAGAGGCACCTAGGAAGAAAGGCCTGGTGATCTGTTTCTGAAAAATCAGCCATTGAAAACTCTACGGAGCACCGTTCTGCTTTGACACACATGGGGTCGCCATGAGTCAGAATCAACTTGACGGCAACTGGTTTGGTGTTGGTTGTACTGTGTGTTTTGATGCTTATGGAGCCCTGGTGGCACGGTGGTTAAGAGCTCGGCTGCTAACCAAAAGACTGGCAGTTTGAACCCACCAGCCTCTCCTTGGAAACCCTGTGGGACAGTTCTACTCTGTCTTATCGGGTCGCTATGAGTCGGAATCGACTCGGTGGCAACAGGTAGTAGTAGTCGTAGTAGATGCTTATACCCAGAGAAGCAGAACAGGGCAGCGTTCAGAGCCCAGCTCGCACGCCTGTAGGCTAAGGGCAAGGTACTTATTATTCTTTCTGAGCCTCAGCTTTCTCATCTCTACAATGGAGAAAAAGAAGCCCCCCGCCCCCTAGCGTTGTTGTGAGAATTAAATATGAGAAGCACCAAAGTGGGGAGTATGGGGCTGGGGACACAGTGCCACTTGGGGAGCTGTGGTCGCTGGGTGGGTGGGGGACAGACACCCCACCCCTGTGAGATCTGTGCTAGGCCTGATGAGAGAGTGGAAAGGACTCCTCAATGAGAATGGAAGGATCAGGCATGGCCTCTTGGGGGAATTTACATTAAGCTGGAACCTAAAGAGTAAATAGAAATTGGCCAGACGGTAGAGAGGTGTGAGCTTTGTCCGGCAGAGGGAACAGCATGTGCAAAGGCTGGGATGTGGAGAGGATGTTTGTTCCAGGATTGGAAGGAGGCTGGGGGTTGGCCATGGGGAGTTGCAGGGAGGGGGGCTGGGGCAGGAGAGGAGGCTGCCGGGGGCCAGCAGGGGCCTTGAACTTCCGAACGGTGTATGTTTATCCCAGGAAGTCATAGAAGGGTTTGAGGAGGGGAGGCAGGGCTGCTGGTCTGTGCCCTCGTGGTAGATCACTTTCCGGTGCGGGACCTTGGTGGGCCTATGGCGAGCTGAGCCTCCCCATCACCCAGCGAGGTCTTGAGGGTCAAAATGAGGAAAGTGTGTGCCCAGGGGTCCTCCCCAGCCTGGGTTCCTGGGCTACTGCCCCAGCTGCAGGAATCCCGGGCTCGGTAAGCCCCACCCCCATCCTCTCCTCTTGGTATGTTTGGTTTGAAAGCCCGTAGTGTGGCTCGTGGGGCAGGCTGGGGGCTTCAGCCAGCAGTGTGGGGAGAAGAGCAGGGTGGGTCCCAGGGCCTCCAGGGTAAAGGAGAGGGTGTGGGCTCAGTGTTCCTCAGGAGCTCCCCTAAACCCCCAACCTCTCCCCTGCTCGTTGGCCCACCCCCACCCTGCTCCAGCAGCTTCCTTCTCCCTCCTCTCTCCTCTGTCCGCCCATCCACCCGGCCCCTGGCACGGGAGGGTCCCTCCTCCCCCCAGCCACATCTGGTTCTTGTTAGGGTCTCCCAGGATGCCTCTGCCTGAGGCCCCCCATCCTGGGGGAGGTGGGCAGGAGGATTAGGGGCGATTAGGAGTGCTCCTGGCCAGGGAAGGAGGAGGTGGGAAGCAGGGGGCTGGGCCTGTTATAAATAGAAACCAGTGACTGCATCAGCCCATTATTCACTGTAAATTCCAAGTTCAGGCTCAAAAACCTGCAGCTTCAGTGGCCAGGGTGGGGGAGATGATGCTCCAATACCCTCCACCCTCGACCCAGCAGGCAGGCCAGCCCAGGACGGGCCAGGAAGGCACAACCACCACCCACCGACCACACACCTTCCCCTGGAGTCAGGCCTGGGTGTGAGTCCTCCTTGCTGTGTGTTTGGGCAAGAGACTTGGCCTCTCTGAGCAATGTGGATGACAATAACACCAAGTCCGCAGGAATCTGGAGGAGTGAATGGCATAAAATGCGTAAAGCACTTTGAATAGTGATGGGGCATGGTAGACGCTCACCGTGAGCCACTGTCACCGTCACCGTCATTATTATCATCAGTATGGGTTGAGAAGTACTGGTAGAGCCACTGTCCCCATCATGTCTCCGTCACCATCGTCACCATGATGGACTGGGAGAATTAAGGGACGCACTGCACTTGAAGGAAGTGCAGGGTGCCTGGCACATTGTAAGCTATGATGATTAATGTGTTGACTCAAGTGCCCGGCACACAGTAGGTGCTCAGTAAACAGGAACTGGAGTCCCTGGGTGGTGCAAATAGTTAATGCACTCGGCCGGTAACTGAAAGGTTGGAGATTTGAGTCCACCCAGAGGTGCCTTGGAAGAAAGCCCTGGCAATCTACTTCCAGAAGATCAGCCATTGAAAACCCTGCCAAGCACAGTTCTATTCTGACACACATGGGGGTACCATAAGTCAGAATCGACTTAACAGCATTTTTTTTTTTTTTTTTTTTTTTGGTTGTTACCAGGGAGGATGGGGTGGGGGCCTGAGCAGAGATGGGAAGTCTGGACCTGGGCATGCAGGCGGGCCATTCCTGGCTTAAGGATCTTCTCTTGTCCTGGCCACACAGGCCTCTGGACGGCCATTGGCGGTGCTTGGTGGGTGAGCTGGGGGTGGGGGTCAGCAGGAGGGCCCTGTACAGTCCCAGGCAGCTCGTGACTCCTAGGAGGGCTTAGCCGCTCGTTAATCACCTAAGCGGGGCTCAGCATTCTTGAAATGCTGGCAGGGGCCAGGGAGGGGCCTGGGCAGGGGGCTCCCAGGGACCCCAGGGCTTTAGAGGCTGAGCACCCACGATGTGTCGCACTTTACCTACCTTATCTTGTTTCCTCCTCACAACAACCCTGTGAAGCAGTAGCTTTCATGTCCCCATTTTATTGATGAGGAGACTGAGGCTCAGAGCTGGTGTGTGATCTATCCAAGGTCACACAGCTGGGAGAGACTGAGCCAGGATTTGTATCTGGACCTGTGTGAGCTCTCTTCCCAGCGCTTACCAGAGGAGGGGCAAAATATGGAGACCCCAGACTCAAGGCTCCAGAGGCCTGTGGGAGGGACCCCTCCCACCTCAGTGGGGCTGGCCAGAGGTGCTGGCCCGCCCAGGTCAGCAGTGTGGGTGGGGCCGTCCTCCATTATCAGGGTTGACGCATCTCCCACGTCAGCCCCCTTATCACCCCGCCCTCTGGCTCCCCCCGGCAAGGTGACCCTGGGAAGGCAAAGGCCAGCACCTCCCAGTCTCCTCTGAGAGGGCTGGGCCAGGGCCGGTGGGGAGGGCCCAGGAGAGCACGGGCGGGGGGGAGCGGAGCCAGGCTGCCATCACTCTCTGTGGTGTGACCTGGGTGAGCCCTTACCTCTCTGGGCCTCTCCTTCCTCCTCTGGACACTGGGCGCTAAGCACCCCAGCTCCGCCCACCAGGGGTGATGGGCTTACCCACATTCTCGATTCTGTCCCCACCCCTTCCTCTCCAGAGCGAGGGCCTGGGGTGCAGGAGCTCCCCCAGCCCATAGGCCCCCCAGGATGTGAGGTCCAGCCAGGCAGACCTCGTGCTCCCGTGTGCCCCAGCTGGGCCATCTAGAACTGACCACTGGAAGACAGGGCAGGACGGGCTGTGCTGGGGCTGACCCAGTGAGGGTGGCAGACACCCACTAGGCACTCGACCCAGTCAAGCGCCTCGTTGCCTCAGCACCCCATACAACAGGGGAACGACCATGCCATTTTACAGTTGAGAGGAAGGGACTTGTCACGCAGCTAGAAAGAGGCAGTGGAGGGGCAGGAGGCAGCCTGTCTGCCTCAGATCTGGGCTTCCCTCCTTGGAGACTAAGGTGGGCATGTGGGCTGGGGGACGCATCGTGGTGCTTCCTGGAGGGATGTCAGGTGTGGACCTTGAAGGACCCCTCCACATGGATACACATGAGGAGCAGCTGGCTGTGGGGCATATGTTTTGGAGGCCCAGGCTGGGGAAGGATGGAGGGCTGGGCCCCAAGGCCAGGCCAGGGAGTCTCAGGGCAGCCGGATCCCTCTGCCAGCTCACATCTGCCCCTGCCCTGCAGGCCATGACATCAACGGTGCCCTGGAGCCCTCCAACATAGACACCAGCATCCTGGAGGAGTACATCAGCAAGGAGGACGCCTCCGACCTGTGAGTCCCCACGTCCAGCCTGGGCCCCGGCCCACTGCCTCCACCTTCACCTGGGAGGTGAAGCCGCTCTGCATCCTCTACAGGAGGCCCTGTGGGGAGAGGCAGCAGCATCCCTGGGGGAGGGGGCGTGGGGAGAGGAGGGGGCTGGGCCCTGGCTGGGGCTGAGCCTCCTCCCTTCTCTGCAGCTGCTTCCCCGACATCTCTGCTCCTGCCCATGCTGCCTCCTACCCCCACGGGCAGCCAGCGATCCCCAGCTCCAGCGGGGTGCACCACCTGAGCCCCCCTGGGGGTGGCCCCTCCCCAGGCCGCCATGGCCCCCTCCCACCCCCGAGCTACGGGGCCCCTCTCAACTGCAACAACAACAACGGCATGGGCGCAGCTTCTAAGCCCTTCCTGGGGGGCCCCGGGCCCCCCATCAAGGCAGAGCCCAAGGCTCCCTATGCCCCAGGGTGAGTAGGGTGCAGGGGCCCAGGGCCAGGCAGGGCCTGGGCTGCAGGCGTGGCTCTCAGGGAGGGGCCAGTGGCCATGGGCCTGGGCTGTGCTGGGAAGGCCAAGGGTGGTAGGACTGCCCTGTGGGTAGGTAAGGGTAAGGTAGGACTAGGGCCAGGTGAGGAAGGACTCGTGGGCTTTGTCGTAAGGCAATAGGGAGCCACAGAAGGTTCTGAGCAGGGGAGGGATGACGGTTGATGTTAAGTGTTAGAAAAATCTGAGAACTGTGTGGAGAGTGGACGGGAGAGGGCGAGACTGGAGGCCACAACTGTTCACACTCATGGGAACACCTGCACATGTGTGCACATACGCAGAGGCACACAACACCGCTCACGGCATCGCCCCATCCACTTGTGTGTGCACTTAGCTGATGTCTACTGTGGCCACAGGGAGCTGGCAGGTGGCTCAGATGTGGTACCCAGAGTTTCCCTCATCCAAGCCTCGCGGAGCCAGAGACCTCCCTCTCCCCCATATCTGTTCTGGCGGTCCACACCAGGGGCCTGACCCAAGGGGTGAGCCTGGGCCTGGCTTTGACCAAAAGTTCCAGGTGGCCTCCCCAGGGGCACATGCTCATGGGGAGGGGCAGGGCGGCTGGGCTTTACTGGGCTCTGCAGAGGGGCTCGGAGAAAGTTCCAGGTTCCCTGGTTTATGGTAGGAGGAAGGGGACCCTGTCTCTGGGTGGAAGAATAATAAGGTGCTAGGAGCACGAGCGCTGTCCAGACGGCCGGGCTTTATCTCCAGTGCCCTGTTTCCTAGCCATTTGCCTTGGGAACCCGCATCTTCTGTCGGGGCCTCAGTTTCTTCCTCTGTAAGGTGAGCCCCCAAATGACTACTTCTCCTGGTTATGGTGGAAATGAAGAGAGAATAAGCACAGAGAAAAGGACCCTGGGTGATGCAAATGGTTTGCACTCAGCTACTAACCAAAAAGTTGACGGTTCAAACCCACCCTGTGGTGCTGCGGAAGAGCAGCCTGGCTGTCTGCTTCTGTAAAGATTACAGCCAAGAAAACCCTATGTATAGAGCATTTCTATTCTGTAACACACCGGGTTGCCATGAGTTTGAATTGACTCAACAGCAATTTTTTTTTTAAGCACAGAGGAAGTGCTGGGTGGACAGTGGCCGCTGATACATGGTCCATAGTGTTCCCTGAGCTTCCTAGCTTCTAGTGGGGGACAGTGGACACTGAGCTGGGGACATCAGAGCTGCAGAAGGTGGACTGTCGGTTTGAGGCTGGGAGGCTGCCCCTAAGCTACAGACCCCTTAAGGGCCCACCCTGAAGGATGAAGGGACGAGGGCTGACAGGTAGTAAACGCCTGCTGAGTGCTGACTGCTGTACCTCACGTCTGCTTGTGCAATCTCATCAGCTGGCCCAGGAACCAGCTCCTGGGGGACCCCGAGACTGGCCTTCAAAGATCATTCCACTGCTCCTCACACCCGAGGCTTAGAGCGTGAGGCTTGTCCAGGGTCACACAGGGACTCTGTGGCTGAGGCAGCCCCTGGAAGGGACCCAGCCCTGAGAGCCCTGCTTCCTGCCAGGCCTGTTCTAGGTGGTGACCAAGACAGACATGTCCTTCCTGCAGGGGATCCTACAGACTAGTTGGGGTGAGAGCTGTAACTCAATAGATCACCAAATAGAGGAATCCTGAGACCTGCCAGGAGTTTATGGAGGAAGGAACACGAGGTCCTACAAGACTGTATGACTGAGGACTTGGGACGTTTCATTGTGGGGACCACAGGCTGAGAAAAAGCTTGGCATACTAGAGACACCCAAAGCCATTGTCAGGGGAGTGCAGGAGCCGGCGGTAGATGGTGGACATGGAGCTGGAGAAGCCTGGCAGCTTGTAGGGCCATGGAGCATAGGTTTGAGTCCCCATCTATTTTTCTGTGTCATCCTCACGCATCCTGTGGGGTCCATATTACCATCTCCGTTGTAGACGGTGGGCTGTGTCCACGACAGCTTGATGGCCCGCCTGGCAGCTCCCTGGGCATGGCGGGGGGTGTCTCCAGATGTGGGACCAGGGATGGCAAAGAGCAGGATCCTCATGAGGCTTAGCCCCCACCCCCCCACCCCCCACCCAGCAAGCACAGCGCTCACGCAGGACGTGCTGACCTCTTGAGTTTGAGTTTGTTCTTTTGCTCAAACCACTGATAAAACGAAACCTGCAAGAAAAAAATAAGCCTGGGCTCAGTGGAGCTGGCTCCCTGCCCGGTCCACACCTGCCCCCGGCAGGGCAGCCCCCCAGGTGACCTGCTGACCAGCCCCAGGCCCAGTCCCCCAGGGCCCCGCAATTCCAGAAAGTAGGGCATCTGTGGGTCCAGGAATTGAGGAGCAGGCTGGCCCCCCATCTAGGGAGGGAGTCCTTGAGTCCCTGCGCCATCGGCAGGGACACTGCTCATGGCCCCCAAGTGCCCACTAAGTCTGAGGAGATTCTTGGCAGGACCCTGAGACCCCCACCCACAACTCAGCTCCAGGCCTTGCCAGGCACCCCAAGGTGGGAGTGCAGAGAAATGCCCGTGAGGGTGGGCATGGGGAGTCCTCGATGCCCACGGCCTCTGGCATCTGTGGGAAGGGGCCAGCCCCAGCCAGGCGCTGCTCATCCCCACCCCACAGAGGAGCCCCGGCTGGAGCTGCGAGGGCGCAGCTGCCGCCCAACACCCCTTCCTCCTTTCGCAGCACACTGCCGGACTCGCCCCCAGACTCGGGCTCCGAGGCCTACTCCCCCCAGCAGGTGAATGGTGAGTCCAGTGGGCACGCCCTCCCTTCTGGGGTTTGGGCAAGTGGTTGGGGCGGCCTTATCGGGAGGGAGGGAGGGAGGGAAAGAGGGAGGGGGCCAGTGGCCGCCAACAAGCCGAGATTATCGCTGGTCAAATACTCCCCGGCGCTGGCTATTGTTCCCCCACGGGTGGGTGGGGAGCCAGCCTGGCCTCTGTGAGTGTCCTGGCTGGTGATGCCACCGCCTGCCTGCCTGCGCCATCATGGACGCACCCTATGGCGGTAAGTGGACGGCCGGGGGAGGCCTCAGGTGCGGCCTGAGCACAGGCCTTACCACCAGCCAGCCTACCCCACCCAAGGGGGCTCCTCAGGGTTGCAGCAGCCCCCAGGTGGCCAAGAGCAGAACGACGGGCCGGCAGCCGGTTCCCAAAGCCCCGAGAGGGGTCAAGAGTTCTGTTTATCTTACCAAAAACATCCCTGGAATGCCTCCTGGGGAACAAAGAGCAGGGCCTCCCCCTCAGGCTGGGGGGCTGGCCCCTGGGAGCCTGGTAGAGGGGCTGCCGGAGGGAGGAGGGCGGCTCGGGCCTGGGCTGAGGGTCTTGAGAGACTCCTTTCTCAGGCCCCAGAGGAGGGTCCGGCCTGGGAGGAAGCTGGCTGGTCTGGCCCCCAGGGAAGCCCCGGGAAAGAGCTGGCTGGGATGGGGTGAAGGGCTGTCCACCCCCTGGGCATGGTCTTTTTTTTCTGCTCAGGCCCCTAGTGGCCAGCCTCTTGCTGCCCAATCCTCCTCCCACCAGGGGTTGGTGGGAGGGAAGCTCCCAGGCTTGGCTCAGGAGACCCCTCCTAGGGGGGACAGCAGGTGCCGGGAACCCAAGTAAGGAAGGTCTCTGATGCCAAGCTCTCCCCTCTCCCGCAGACCCCCACCTCCTGCGCACGCTAACTCCTGAGACCCTGTGCCACGTGGGAGTGCAGTCCCGCCTGGAGCACCCACCACCCCCTCCAGCCCACCTGCCAGGCCCCCCGCCGCCTCCACCGCCCCCACCTCACTACCCTATCCTGCAGCGGGACCTGTACATGAAGGCCGAGCCCCCAGTCCCCCCTTATGCTGCCCTGGGGCAGGGGCTGGCCCCCGCCGAGCTCCACCACACCCAGCAGTCCCAGATGCTGCACCAGCTGCTGCAGCAGCACGGAGCCGAGTAAGACTCGGGCAGCTGCCTCCCCGGGGAGGGCGCAGGGGCCCAGGGCGGCACTGGGAGGACAGCGGTGGGCGCAGGAACCGGGATGCACCCAAGGAGGGCAGAAGACTGCAGGGAAGCTGGGGGTCGACATACTCCCATCTGTGTGCCCAGCAGTACACTGAGGGGTTTATGCCATGGCTAATTGCTCCCAACTACTATTTGGTGGGCATTGCCACCCCCATTGCACAGATAGATCATCTGAGGCTCTGAAAGGGGGGAAATGACTTGCCCAAGTCATGGAACTAGGCAGGGGCAGAGGCAGGGTTTGAACCTGGGTCTGTAGGCCTCGAGGTCTGTGCTGTGGCCCAGGCCCCAGTGATTGTCCAAGCATCTACGGAGTCCTTGGCTTTCTGAGAAGGTTCTAGGCGTGGGCCCAGGGGCCTCACTTGGACTCCAACCTGCACAGTTGTCTTTTTATCTGTTTTATGCTTTGGGATTTCATGAAGGATTTAATTGAGGGAAAGATTCCCCGGCCAAAACTTCGTGTAAGCCAGAAGGGGAAGGGGTGCTGCGTAGGCCCCCCAGATTTTCCCCACCAGGAAACTCCCCCAGGCGCTTTGGCACAGACCCTCTGTGGCTTCTTTCTGACCGGGGAGGCTGCTGTCCATAGAGCCCCCACCATACAGAGCTGATAGAGTGACACAGGACAAGACCAGTTCAGTCTCCAGACAGCTGCTGAACTCTCCCTGAGTGCCACCCTCTGTGCTGGTGGGCATAATGGGACACACTGACAAGGCAGGGGTGGCCCCTGCCCTCCTGGATTCCACAGTCAGGGGGTAGGGGACTTTGACAGAAAATGACAACACGGAGTGATGGGGAGCACAGTGGGGAGCTGTCTAAGCCCCCAAGAGCACCGAGGAGACAGAGCTCAGGGGCTTCCTGCAGGACATGTCCTCTGGGCTGGAAACAGGGTGGAGAGGGGAGAAGAGGTACTGACTAGAGGGAGGGGGCTCAGGGTGGTGACATGGGGGAGCCAGCCCCTGGCTTATACCTTTGTCCCACCCAGGCTCCCTACACACCCCTCTAAGAAGAGGAAGCACTCCGAATCACCCCCCAACACCCTTAATGCCCAGATGCTAAATGGAATGATCAAACAGGAGCCCGGGACCATGACGGCCCTGCCCCCGCACCCTCCTCGAGCCCCATCCCCACCCTGGCCTCCCCAGGGCCCGCTCTCCCCTGGCCCCGGCTCCTTGCCTCTCAGCATCGCCCGGGTCCAGACGCCGCCTTGGCACCCACCAGGCGCACCCTCACCAGGTACATGACTGGCCAGATCAACCAACCCTTCAAATTGCAGAGTGGGTCCCAGGGCCGAGGCGCTAGGTGGCCCAGGATGGGGCACACAGGGGCATTCCCTCCCTCCAGGTCTCCTGCAGGACAATGATAGCCTCAGTGGCTCCTACTTGGACCCCAACTACCAGTCCATCAAGTGGCAACCACACCAGCAGAACAAGTGGGCAACACTCTATGATGCGAACTACAAGGAGCTGTGAGTGATGGGGGCCACCCCCACTCCTCTGGCCACCCTCCCTGGGCACCCAAACCCCCAACCCTGGCATCATGGTCCTAGAGCAGGGTCTGGGTGGAAAACACACTGGGTTCAAGATGGTCCCATTTTACAGATGAGGATACAGGCTCTGGGTTCCTGACTTCTAGGCCAGATGGAGGCAGCCTTAAGAAGGTGGTGTCTGCTGGGGAGGGGCCAATGGAAGCCAAGTCAGGAAGAAGTGGGTGATGGGTGTTTTCCGGCACCGCCTTCCCCTCCTCCTCCCACTCCTTCTCCTCCTCCTCCTGCATTCCAGGAAGGTAGCAGGAAGCTGAGTGTAAGCAGGGCCCTTTCAGCAGCCCCCTCCTTGGAGGGGAGGAGGAGGGAGTAGGGAGGACTGGCCAGAGGCTGCCTGGGCACTCCTCGCTCTCCCTCAACACCCGCATGGGTTCTGCTCTCAGGCTTCAGGCCAGGAGCCCTATGGGTGGGTGGGGACCACTCCTCTCACTCCCCTCACTCCCCCAGAAGGCCAGTGGGCAGGCGAGAGGGTGATGCCCCTCAACTCACCTTGGACATTGGTGGGCATGGGCAGGTGGCTGGAACTTGGGTCCTCCTAGAGTTGGGCGCCCTGGGCTGTGTAGGATTCTTGGCCAGAAGGCCCTAGGGCTGGGCTGGGGAACTCCAGCTGGTGTAGTGGCTGAAGGGTCCTGCTGGTAGGGGAGCAGGTCTGCGGGGGTCTAGCCCCTGTGGCCTGGACAGGAACCCCCTATTCTTTTTTTTTTTTTTTGTGTGCTTTAGATGAAGGTTTACAGAACAAACTAGCTTCTCATGAAACAGTTAGTACACATATTGTTTTATGACATTGGTTGCCAACCCCACGACATGTCAACACTCTGCTTTGTTGACCTTGGGTTCCATATTTCCAGCTATCCTGTCCCCTCCTGCCTTCTAGTCCTTGCCCTGGGCTGGTGTGCCCCTTTAGTCTTGTTTTGTTTTATGGGCCTGTCTAATGTTTTTGGCTGAAGGGTGAAGCTCGAGAGTGACTTCATTACTGAGCTAAAAAGTGTCCAGGGGCCATACTCTCGGGGTTTCTCCAGTCTGTCAGGCCAGTAAGTCTGGTCTTTTTTTTTTTGAGTTAGAATTTTGTTCTACATTTTTCTCCAGCTCTGTCCGGGACCCTGTATTGTGATTGCTGTCAGAGCAATCAGTGATGGTAGCTGGGCACCATCTAGTTGTACTGGAGCCATGGTAGTTGTGGTCCATTGGTCCTTTGGACTAATCTCTCCCTTGTGTCTTTAGTTTTCTTCATTCTCCCTTGCTCCCGAATGGGTGAGGAATCCCTCTATTATCCCCAACCTCTTTGGGCTAACCCTCCCACCTAAGACCAGGAAGCTGGGGCTGAGGCCCTTGGTGTGGCCCAGGCATTTTCTGGGTGGGGGCTCTGCTTGGTCAGGCAGGTAAGTGGAGTCCCCAGTCCTTCTTGTAGGTAGCAGCCAGGCCCAAAAGACTCTCCCCACAAGTTTGGAAGCGTTCTCCCTGTCCAGCCTCCTGCAAGCAGGCAGCAGGCATTCCTGTTACCACTGGGGGCACTGCTTGTGCCCAGGGACTTGGGTGAGGTGGGCAAGCCATAGACCAACAGTTGCCCCCTCTCTTGCCACCTGGAGGCCCCCCCACAGGGGGACTTGGGACACTATCCCCAGCAACAAATAGGCAAACTGAGGCTGAGTTGAAGAGTAAGTCCAGGCCACCCAGAAGTGCCCGTCTCCCTAACCGGGTAGAGACAGGGTGTCAGAGTGGAGGTGTTTGGGGGTTTGAGGTGTTTGCGTGGGCAGGGGCTGAGCCTTCAGCAGAGCCAGCGCCTGGTTCCACCGTTTCCATGGCAACCAACTGTCAGGAGCACTGAGGCTCCCCAGGCGCAACCCCTCACCCCATCTCCCGTGAGGGAGGGGCCTTCAGGCAGGATTCTGGGAAGGAGCCAAGTGGGGTGAGGGGCTCATCAAGCCCCTTCCTCCGGGGCTCCCTCCTGGGCTGGTGGGCCTCAGAGTCTTCCCTGCCTACCCCTCACCAGGACAGGGCAGTAGTCCCAGGCTTATAGAGGAAAGAATACTGGCTGAGGAGGGGTTGGCCCACCTGAGCTTGAATCTCCTCAGAGACTCAGTTTCCATTTCTGAGAAGTGGGGGCAGCCCCGTGGGTGGTTTGAGGATCCTGGGGATACAGGAGAGGAAGTTGCTATTGGAACTCAGTCACATGGCAGGGACTGACATTCCAGGCCTAGCTTGGGGGGCCTCAGGTGAGTGCCTTTCCTGCCTCCAGGCCCATGCTCACCTACCGCGTGGATGCCGACAAGGGCTTCAACTTTTCGGTGGGTGACGATGCCTTTGTGTGCCAGAAGAAGAACCACTTCCAGGTGACAGTGTACATCGGCATGCTGGGAGAGCCCAAGTACGTCAAGACACCCGAAGGCCTCAAGCCTCTCGACTGTTTCTACCTGAAACTGCACGGAGTGAAGGCAGGTTTAGGGGCTCAGTGGGGAGGGCATGGCAGGAGGACCAGCAAGCCTTGTGGTGTCAAAAGACCCCAAAGGGAAGTGAGTGTATGTGTGAGAAAACTCCCTTGTCGCGAAATGCAACTGCACTGGCCGGGCTGTGCCCCTTCGCACCTTTTCCCTGCCCCTTGCTCCTCCTCAGTCTCTCCCACCACCTGCCCTCCACCTGTCCTCAGCCCTCTCGCCCACGCTTCCTGTTTCTGTCTCTACCCTGTGATCCCCAAGTCTACGACCCCAGTCAGGACCCTTGTCCTAACTCCTCTATCTGCCGTCTCCTGGACCTCTAGCCTAGGCTGCCATGGGCCCCTCAGCCAGTGTCCTAAACTGAATTCCCTTTGAACTTGGCCCATCCCCCTGGGCTCGCCTCTCAGGAAATGGGGCTCCGGGGCCCTGGTCACCGAGGCCAGAAATCTGGGGCCCCTCGCTCTCACCTCATCTTGCACCTGGCTCTGCTGTTCTTCCCCCAGAACATTATGGGATCCCACCCCCTTCTCTCCTTCCTCTCTCCCCTCCTTGTCTGAATGACCACAGCAGCTTCTGCTCTGGCTCCTGCCTCATACCGCACTGGAAACATGGGTGGCCATGACACTCCAGGCTCCCAGCAAAGCCCCAACTTCTAAGCTTAGCACACGAGGGCCTGTGTGACCTAGCGCTTCACTCCAGCCTTGCCCTTTGCTGGGCCCTGAACCTCTCCTGCGGATTCACACCACCCTGCCTTCCCTCAGGAGACCCTGGGTGGAGCAAATAGTTAAGTGCTCCACTACTAACCGACAGGTTGGTGGTTTGAGTCCACCCAGAGGTGCCTCAGAAGAAAGGCCTAGCGATCTACTTCCAAATTTACTTCCAAAAGGTCACAGCCATTGAAAACCCTATAGAGCACAGTTCTACTCAGACACACGTGGGGTCACCATGATCTGAAATCGACTCCATAGCTACTGGTGGGTTTTTTTGGCCTTCCTTCATGCGGCTGCTTCTCCCTGGAACGCCCTCCCAGCACCTTGTTTAGCCTCCCTCTCCTGGCTAGCTGCTCCTCCACCTTCACCGTTCATACTGGTGTCCTCCTCAGGAAACCTTCCCTGAGGCCCATCCCCTGGGATCCCCACAGTGTAGCCACAGTGCAGTTGATTTTGTTTTCCTGAGGCAGGGTGGGATCTCTGTCCTTCAGGGTTGTGAGCTGGGCCTGGCAAGGCTCAGCCAGTGCTCCTGGAGGCGCTGAGGGGATATGCGTATGGGAGAGAGTGTGGAGAGTGTGTGGGCTTGGGTGTGGGTGGAGGCTGGTTTGGGGTATGTGTATACACAGAGGTAGGGGAGTGGCATGGGGTTGGGGGCTTTGAGGGTGACTGAGGGTGTGTGTGTGTACGCAGAGGTGGGGGAGTGGTATGGGGCTGTGGATGTGAGGGGGTGGAGGCTTTGAGAGTATGTGTGTACACAGAGGTGGAGGAGTGGTATGGGGCTGTGGATGTGAGGGGGTGGAGGCTTTGAGGGTCTGTGTGTATGTATGCAGAGGTGGGGGAGTGGTGTGGGGGTATGGATGTGAGGGGCTGGAGGCTTTGAGGGTCTGTGTGTATGTACGCAGAGGAAGGGGTGTGGTGTGGGGGTGTGGATGTGAGGGGATGGGGGCTGTGGTGGTGACTAAGGGTGTGTGTACGTATGTATGCAGAGTCGGAGGAGTGGTATAGGGGTGTGGATGTGAGGAGTGGGGGGCTATGAGGGTGACTGAGGGTGTGTGTGTGTATGCAGAGGTGAGGGGGTGGTGTGGAAGTGTGGATGTGAGGAGGTGAGGACTATGAGGGTCTGTGTGTGTACAGAGAGTAGGGGAGTGGTGTGGGGGTATGGATGGGAGGGTGGGGGCTGTGAGTGGCTGAGGGTGTATATGTATGTATGTGTATGCAGAGGTGGTATAGGGGTGTGGATATGAGGGGGTAGGGGCTGTGAGGGTGATTGGGGGGTCTGTGTGTTTGTATGCAGAGGTGAGGGAATAGCGTGGGGTGTGGATGTGAGAGGGGGCTGTGAGGGTGGCTGAGGGAAGTCTGTGTGTGTACGCAGAGGTGGGGGTGTGGATGTGTGAGGTGTGGATGTGAGGGTGACTGAGGATGTGTGTGAGGGTATGCACATGAAGAAGTGGGGGGAGTGGTGCGGTGTGAGGGGTGTGGGGTTGTGTATATGCGTGTAGAAGTAGGCAGTGACGTGGGTGTGGTGTGAGGAGGGTGACGCTCCAGGTCTGTGTGGGCACATGTGTGGAGGTGAGGGGAGTGCTGTGGATGTGGGGTGTGTAGGGCGTGTGGGGGTGTGCTGCTGTGTATAACAACGCACCTGAGTTTGTGGGGAAATCAGATGGGTCAGGCCTGGGCTCAGAGGGTGCGGGTGGGCAGAATAGGCGGGGAGCCTTGTCCCTGAGGTGCCATTGGACTACCCACTCCGCCAGCTGGAGGCCCTGAATCAGTCCATCAACATCGAGCAGTCTCAGTCTGACCGAAGCAAGCGGCCCTTCAACCCCGTCACGTGAGTGTCTGATCGGGTTGGGGGTGGTACCCAGCAGGGCTGACCCTGGGGCTGGCTTGGGAGCTGAGGGGCGCCAGTGAGGGGCCCACAGCGTCCACCTCCCACACACTTCTGGCCTGGGTGCCCCTCTCCGGCCTGGCTTTCTGCCCCCTCCTCCCTGCCCCCTGAGTACCCTGCCCTTCCCCTGCAGGGTCAATCTGCCCCCTGAGCAGGTCACCAAGGTGACTGTGGGGCGGCTACACTTCAGCGAGACCACTGCCAACAACATGCGCAAGAAGGGGAAGCCCAACCCCGACCAGAGGTGAGCAAGCTGGACCCACCCCTCTGGGAACCCCACCTCCCCATTTCTGGGGAATGGGGCAGGAAGGCACTACCCCATGTAGAATCCAGGTGCAGAATCCCAGACTGACCCATTTTACAGATGAGGGACCTGAGACCCAGAGCCCTTACTTGTCTGTAGAATGGGAAGAGCAGAGTCTGGCTTCTGAATTTAAGACAGCTCTCTGGCTTCCTAGCTGTGGGCTCTGAGGCATGTCTGCCCCCTAGTGGAGACTCAGGACCCTCCGCCGTAGGATGAGGTGTTCATGCCCACTTCGTGGGGGTGCTGGGAACCTGGTGAGATGATCCAGTGCACATTCTGGACCAGGACGGGTGGCCAGGGGGTCGGGGAAGGTGGGGCAGGGCCCTGGTGCCTCTAAGACCCCGGTGTGCCTCAGGTACTTCATGCTGGTGGTGGCCCTCCAGGCCCACGCACAGAACCAGAACTACACACTGGCTGCCCAGATCTCAGAGCGAATCATCGTTCGGGTGAGGGCCACCTCCCCTAAGCCGGGAACCGGGCTGTGGTTAGATAGCCCTCCCCAGAGCTGGAGGAAACAGCACCCAGGAGAAACACTGGGGTACCGGGGAGTCAGGAGCCAGAGTGCTGATCCTGCTGGGCACTGGCTGTGTGGCCTTGGGCAAGGCTCCCACCCTCTCTGGACTGCAGCATCTCCTTCACAGTAAAACATGGGGGGTGGAGCAGCCTCCTGGGATCCCATCAGTGACTAGAAGCTGCCACAGTGGGAGGGATAGTTTAGGTTGGGGCCTGGTGGGGTGAGGAGCCTTGGCTGAAGTGGGAGTGTTGGCTGCGGGGTTTCCCCCTATCCCAGGGCGCTGCAGCCCCCCTGCCCCTCCGCAACCGCTCCCAAGACCGACTCTACCCCATCTCGCCATAGGCCTCCAATCCGGGCCAGTTTGAAAGCGACAGCGACGTGTTGTGGCAGCGGGCGCAGGTGCCCGACACCGTCTTCCACCACGGCCGCGTGGGCATCAACACGGACCGGCCAGACGAGGCGCTGGTTGTGCACGGCAACGTCAAGGTCATGGGCTCGCTCATGCACCCCTCGGACCTGCGGGCCAAGGAGCAAGTGCAGGAGGTGCGGGCGGGGCTGCCGGCGAGGGGCGGGGCTGCCGTCGGGGCGGGGTTGCCGTCGGGGGCGGGGCTGTGAGGGAAGGGGCTGATGGCAGGGGTGGGCCACTGGGGGCGGGGATTGTGGGCGGGGCTTTTGGGGAAGAGGCGGGCCAGATGGAAGGGCGGGGCTTCTGGGGAACGGCGGGGAGGTGGCTGAGCCTGGATCTCTGGACTCCTGGGTCCCTGGTGGCAGGATCTCCCCTCCACATTGCAGCCTCCGGACTGCTGCCCTCCTGGGCTCCGACCCCTCACCTGGATAGCCCCCGGAGGGAAGGGGTTTAATGTGGGTCCTGGCTCCCGGCAGGTGGACACCACGGAGCAGTTGAAAAGGATCTCGCGCATGCGGCTGGTGCACTACAGATACAAGCCCGAGTTCGCAGCCAGCGCCGGTATCGAGGCCGCGGCGCCAGAGACGGGTAGGGCTTGGCCGGCAGGAACTTGGGCTGGGGTCCGGGAACCCTGCCCCTCGGCCCTCAGGCACTGGTCCCCTGCCCCCCATCCTTTGGGAATCCTGTCCCTGTCCTCTGGAAACCCTACTCCTGGGAACCCCTCCCCTGTATTGCTGGGACTCCGACCCGGGTATCTGACCCTATAGATGCTCCGCCCCTCAGGCCCTGGGAAATCGCCCACCCCAAGGACCCGGGAACCCCGCCCGCTAACCACCGGAACTCCGTCCCCTTCCCCTGGGATCCTTACTCCCAGGATTCCGCCCCTCCCGAGCCCGCACCTGGACCCCTGGAACTGAGACCCTGTGAACGCTTTTCCCTTGGGAGCCCTCCAGGGCTCCTTGGAACTCAAATCGCTAGTCCCCAGAACTTTGCCTTCTCCAGTGCCACGTCCCGTCGTTATATTCAGGTGCTGTGGGCGACCCTCCTTCCCCACTCACACACGCTTGGCTTGGCCCTCCTCAGGCGTCATCGCCCAGGAGGTGAAAGAGATCCTGCCTGAGGCTGTGAAGGACACTGGAGACGTGGTCTTTGCCAATGGGAAAACCGTAGAGAACTTCCTGGTGGTGAACAAGGTTTGCAGGTGTGGGGGATAGAGGGAGCCAGGGCTGAGAGGAGGACCAGCTGGGGTCATCATCATCTCCTCCACAGAGACTGGGGTGGGCAGTGCAGAGGGCAGGAGCAGCCTGAATCTTGTCTCCTGCCTACTCCAGATTCCCCCCACCAGGCCCTCAGGGAAGGGAGTGAGCAGTCAAGTGGAGGTAGGGGGACTTGGCTGTTCCATGGTTGTGTGATGAAGGACAAGAGGAACCTGGCTGAGGGTCACTTTCCTCCCCAGTAAAATGAGAGTAATAGTAATCTATTTTCCATTCTCATATGGTTATTGCATGGCTTAAACATGTGCTTTATTGTGAGGACACTCTGGGTGCTATAAATGGTTAATACACTCAGCTGCTAACCAAAAGGTTAGAGGTTCGAATCTACCCAGAGGCAGCTGGGAAGAAAGGCCTGACATTCTGCTTCTGAAGAATCAGCCATTGCAAACCCTATGGAGTGCAGTTCCATTCTTACATACGTGAGGTCGCCGTGAGTCGGAATTGACTCAGCAGCAACTCTCTCTTTGTTCTTGTTGTGAGGATAACGTTTGTATACCTGGCATGAGGCCGGACATGTGGTGGGCATGCAGTATGTTTTCACCTCAGCTGAGTAGCAAAGTGCTGAAGCCTGAGACACCATGTTAGTCAAGGGGAGAGTTGACAAGTTGAGCCTTCTGGCTTGGACAGAGGGTTGGAGCCTCTGAAGGACAGAGGGTTCTGAGTGGGAGTGAGAAGAGCTGTTCAGGCAAGGGGCATAGCCTAGCACAGGGACGGGTAGGGGCGCTGTTTGGAGGCAGGCACAGGGAGCCATGGGAGCTGAGGCTGGACCGGCGGGGAGAGGCTGAGATGGGTGGGGAGATTTTGAGGCCTTCATGAAGGCTGTGGGCAGCGGGGCTTCCCTCCTACTTCCTGCCGGGGCTGTAGCCTTCGTTCCCGGGGCTGGCCATGCCCTCAACCCTGGCCCTCACTGCGGCAGGAGCGCATCTTCATGGAGAACGTGGGTGCTGTGAAGGAGCTGTGCAAGCTGACGGACAACCTGGAGACACGCATCGATGAGCTGGAGCGCTGGAGCCACAAGCTGGCCAAGCTGCGGCGGCTCGACAGCCTCAAGTCCTCTGGCAGCTCGGGTGCCTTCAGGTGGGGGTGTGGGGTTCAGGGTGGGGGAGGAAAAGACCCCCTTCCCAGGGCACCCCTGACCCTGGCCCTCTCACTGCAGCCACGCCGGGAGCCAGTTCAGCCGGGCGGGCAGTGTCCCCCACAAGAAGAGGCCCCCCAAGGTGGCCAGCAAGGTGAGTGGGCAGGTCGGATTGGCGGCTTCCTCTTCCCACATGGCCTCCCTCCTAACTTGGCCCTCTGCAGCCTCACTGACTCCAGCTGCTCCCTCTCCCCTCCCGGCCCTGTAGCCCTCCCAGCCCGTTTCTCCTTCCTCTCCCTCTGCCCCTCTGGGGGAATGGGTGGACCGCAGCTTCCCTACCTACAGAGACCACGGGCACCCTAAGTTTGGGCCAGACTGATAGCTTCTGCTTCTTCCCCTTTGCTCCTCTGGCCTCAGTCGTCATCCGTGGCCCCAGACCAGGCCTGCATCAGCCAGCGCTTCCTGCAGGGCAGCATCATTGCCCTGGTGGTGGTCATGGCCTTCAGGTGACTTGCCCCAGGCTCTGGGGTGGCTGGCTGGGGGAGTCGAGGTGCCCAGTGGAGTCAGGCCTGGGGAAGGGGAAGGTGTGGCCTGGGAGATCAAGTGGCTGAGGTCTTGGGGAAGGAGGCAGGTTGCCTCTTTATGTCTCTCCCCAGGGATAGAGAGACCCATTTGTAGGCACCGCCTGGGAGCCCAGCCCCTGGGGCCAAGGACCTCGGGCCCTGCCCTAGACAGAGAGCACCGGATGGTGCCCCCAGCTCTCACACTCACCCTTTTCTGCGGTCCCCAGCGTGGTGTCCATGTCCACACTGTATGTGCTGAGCCTGCGCACCGAGGAGGACCTGGTAGATGCCGATGGGTATGTCCCGGGAGGCATGGCTACTGGCCAAGTCACCAGGGCCAGGCAGGGCTTTGGTGGCAGCCCAGGGTCAGAGGGACCATGGGTCAGAGAGTCATGAAGTCCATCTCCCCTGAAGGGGGCTCAACCTCAGGCTCTCAGCCTACTGGGGGCTTGTGGGGGCAGGTGGGAGGGTCTCCCCAGAGGATAGACAGCCGTTTCCCGGTCCCTGCTGAAGCTGATGTTTCTTTCTGGCCTTCGCAGTGCTGGGCCTCTGAGAGTCAGGGGATCTGAGGGGCCCAGATTGGAATGGGCTGGGGGTGGAGGGCCAGGGCAGGACCTTGGGGCTCTGTCTGCCCACTGTCCCCAGCTCCTGGGGCCATCTCTTACTGTGTCTTTTCTCTCCTCCCTTGTGCCTGTCTTCCCCTTTTCTCTCGGCTCCCCCTTAGCTCTTTTGCCGTGTCCGCTTCCTGTCTCCTGGCTCTGCTCCGGCCCCAGCACCCTGGGGGGAGTGAGGCCATGTGCCCATGGTACGTGTCTGGACTAAGTGTGCCCTCCTGCCTCTGGCTCCTGCTGCCCTTCTTCCTGTCTCCTTTCCACCTTCCCTGTCCATGCCGTCCTGCCCCTCCTGCTTCTCTGGGACTCCCAGGCTTCCCCCCAGCCCCTGGCCTCTCCTAGCCCCACTGAGCTCAGCCCACCCTTCCCCAGCAGGTCCAGCCAGAGCTTTGGGACCACGCAGCTTCGACAGTCTCCTGTGACCGCTGGGCTGCCTGGCACACGGTCCTCTTTGCAGCTGGGTGCGTGCCGGGGGCAGGTCTGCAGATGGAAGCAGGGAAGGGATGGGGGGAGTGGCTTTGTTCTGGGTTGGGGGCCCTGCTGCCCCCTCCAGCTCACACAGCCTCCGTCTTTCTCAGTTACTGCTGGCCTGCCCAGCTCGGCCTCAGGGACGGCCATCCGCATCTTGGACCTGTGCTCCAGCCAACCCTGCCCAGTTGTCTGCTGCTCCTCACTCACCCCCAGCCCTGCCACTAGCCCCAGTCTTGGCTCCACCTTCAGCCCCAGCCGTGGTCTCAGACCCAGTCCCACCACCAACCGCTCAGGTATGGCTGTCTTGGGTTCACAGCTTAGTTTGAGGGGCTTAAGTCCAGAGAAAGACCCAAAAGACTCATTGGAGTGAGGCTCTGGTGGCAGATTGGGGAAATCCTCCAGAAAGGATCAGAAGACAGATGGGGGTCCACCGGGGCCCTAGAGATAGCCAGGTAGGAGGCAACCACCTGCCCTCTTCTCAGCCTGTCCCTGGTTCTGTCCACAGGCTCCAGTCAGATGCCCCTGCTGCCAGTCTCCAACATCAGAGCCAAGTCCTGGGGCCTTTCAGCCAACGGCATTGGCCACTCCAAGCATCCTAAGAGCCTGGAGCCTGTGGCCAGCCCTGTAGTCCCCTTTCCTGGGGGGCAGGGCAAAGCCAAGAACAGCCCCAACCTTGCTCTCTATAGCCGGGCCCGCCGAGGTGCCCCCCAGCCCAGCCTGGGCCCTGCCCAGTCCGCCGAGGCTCAAGGTCAGCCAGGTACTTGTCCCACCCCCTGTCACCTCTAACCCTAGCCCAGCATGTCTCTCTGGCCAGGCCATCTAGGCCCAGTCAGCTGACTGCCCGTCATCAGTCAGTAGACATTTGCTGAGCGGGTACTAAGTGCCAGGAATCAGGCCAGGTGCCTTATCTAGATTGTCTCATTGAATCGTCACCACACACCTGCAAAGAAGGAATTCCAGGCCCATTGTTCAGAGGAGGAAACAGACTTAGACAGGTGAAGCAACCTGCACAGGGGCAGACAGCCAGTCGGCAGCAGAGCTGGGATTCTATCCAAGGTCTGCCTGACTTCAGAGCCTGGCTCCCACGTTAGCATGCCGAGGCGAGGAGGGTGCTGTACTGGGTCCCCCAACTTTTCCCTAGGCCTCAAACCTTTGGTTTTAATAAAACTAGAGAACCCTGTACTGCTGAGCTTTTCAAAGTGGGTATCTCTGAGGTTCCCTCAGGGGCTGCCATGGGGATTGAAGGGGAGAGAGACTGGGAGCCTTTTGGCTTCTACCAGGCAGCTCTGCTCTAAGTATCGGGCCTTTTCATCAACTTTCATTTAAAAGGGTTTATGTGGCTTTAAAAAAAAGAAAACAAAAAAAAACAAAACTTGGAAACCGTGGTTTTGCAGAGACTGAAGTTGAAAGTGCTGGGGAAACCCCAAGGGGTAGATGCTCACCAGGCAGCTGTTTCCTGGGCTGCTGCTCTGTGGCTGGCTGTGAACAGGGCACCAGCGGGGATGAAGACAGAAGTGCCCCTGCCCCCAGAGAGCTCACAGACACAAAAATGCAGCAGTGTGGTGAGGCTCTGAGGAGACATGCAGGCACCTTTGGGACTGAGGAGGGCACTTAATCTGGGCTAATGTCGGGAGGTGATCAGGGAAGCCTCCCTGGAGGAGGTGATGTTGGAACTGAGTTTTCAGAAGCAGTATTCAGCTATCACTTTACCTTTCATATCTGTGCTACAGAATTTTTTAAAAAACAATGTTGTGGTTTAGCAGATTAGGTTCGCATTCAACAATTTTTGTATAAATCGTTCAGTGGCATTGGTTACAATTTTCACAGTGTGTCAGCATTCTCATTATTTCCATTATGTTTGTTCTATTTCCATTGACCTAACTTCCCTTCCTCTCCTTTCTCATCTTTGCTTTGGGGTAAATGTTGACTGTTTGATCTCATATAGTTGATTGTTTAAAGAAGCACATTACTCACAGGTGATATTGTTGATTTTATAAGTTAGTCTATTATCTGATGGAAGGTGACCTCCAGAAATAGCTTCAGTTCCAAGTTCAAAGGGTTGTCTTAGGGTGATAGTCTCAGGGGTTCCTCTAGTCTCCATTGGTCCAGTAGGTCTGGCCTTTTTTAGGAATTTGAATTTTGTTCTACATTTTTTTTCCATTCTATCCAAGACCTTCCATTGTGTCCATGGTCAGAAAGGTCAGTAGTGGTAGCCGGGCACCATCTAGTTCTTCTGGTCTCAGGTTAGAAGAGGCCATGGTTCGTGTGGGCTGTTAGTACTGTGGACTAGTTTCTTCTTTGAGCCCTTGGTTTCCTTCATTGTCTTCTGTTCCACGGAAGTAGAGACCAATAGTTGTATCTTAGATAGCCACTCGCAAGCTTTTAAGACCCTGGACACTGATCACCAAACTAGGTTGTAGAACATTATCTTTTTGAATTATGTTATGCCAGTTGACTAAGTTTGTCCCGAGTGTGCTACAGCATTTGAACTGTGCATCAAGTCACTTTAAAAAGCTTGTTGTTAGTTGCTGACGAGTTGATTCTGACTCATGGCGATCCCATGTGTGCAGAGTAGAACTGCTCCATAGGGTTTTCAAGGCTGTGATCTTTTGGAAGCAGATTGCCAGGCCTGTCTTCTGAGACGTCTCTGGATGGGTTTGAACCATCAACCTTTTGGTTAGTAGTTGAGCGCTTAACTGTTTGCACCAAAGAGAACTAGAAAGGCCACTTTCCATCTTGTCTGTATCTGATGCCTGTCCATGGCCTCACAGGGCGTTCTGGATGCTGCTGGGGTCCTTGGGTCTGCATTGTGCCTCATAGAGCTGAAAATATACCAAGTCCAGAAAGTGGCCAGTGGCCCCAGCTCCTCCCTTCCTAGGTAGGATGGTCAGGCAGCAGCAAGCCTGTGGGTGAACTGGGTGGGGAGAAAGCCTTGTCTCCCCTGCCCAACCACATCACATATCGTGTGAGAGACTTCAGTCCCCTACCCCCCAGTCAGCCAGCCTGAGGTGGCTCGTTCAGAGGGCCACAGGCAGTGGTGTGCTGGTAAATATTTAGGAACTGGCTCTCGGGGGCCCTGAACTGTGTGGTTTAAATACTCCCACCATGGCCAATTTCAAGCTGCCAACTTAACAGCAGTGAACCTAGAGTTGAGAAAAGATGTGCACCATCAGGAAAAGAGGTACACGGGCCAGTATGAACAGGCTCCTGTACCCTACTGCTAAGCCCCATCTCTGGGCCTGGTGTTTCCTTCTGTCGAGAGGTGAACCTCAGGCTCATGGGAACTGGCTAGTCCTAGGACTGGTGGGGAAGGGGGTGGTATGACCCCCAGCCATTGTGGGGGTTTGGAAAGAATAACTGGAAACCTATTCACACTAAAATGTGAGTGACTGATTCAAGTCTGGCAAGGAAGGACTTGGCTGCTTCTCACCTGTGTTACCCTCCTGCCCCAACATCCTCTCTCCTTGCAGACCCCATGCCTTCCCTGACCTCCATCCAGGTGCTGGAGAATGCGATGCCCATCACCTCCCAGTACTGCGCTCCAGGGGACGCCTGCAGGTGGGCTTGGCTCCCTCCCTTCACCCCCAAGGGCAGGTCCCCCGGGTGACAGATGCCCAGATTTTGCCCCGCTCAGGGAGGAGCTTCCCCCACAAGGTGGAACAGCCCTCTCTAGGCCCCTAGGGGCTGAGGAGTTGATGGGGAGGGGCTTCAGCAGGGTGGTCTGGAGCTGAGGAGCCAGCTTTGTCCCTTCAGGCCTGGGAATTTCACCTACCACATCCCTGTCAGCAGCAGCACCCCACTGCACCTCAGCCTGACCCTGCAGATGAAGTAAGTGCTGGTGGGGGAGCGTCAGGATGGCAAGTCTGAGCTCCAGGCCTGACCTGCCATCATGTTCCTTTGCAGCGGGCCCAGACAGTTTGGGGGAAGGGGAGCAAGCAGGGATGCTGAGGTTTATCGCTTGCTTTGTGGTTAACTAGCTGCAAGACCCCGGCAATCATTGCGCCTCTCAGCTTGTTTCTCATCTGGAAAATGGGGCGCTGCCTCACAGGGGCTCTGAGGACCACATGGGATGGCAGATGGGAAAGGTTTTATACTGTCTAGGACTCTTATTACGCTTTGTAATCAGACTGGGTGAAAATTAAGTGGCTTGTGGGGTCCGATCGGGAGGGGGCCGGGTTGAGGGACTCTGGAACTCTGTTTTCCTGCTAACTGGGCCTCTCTCCCCAGCTCCTCCTCCCCCGTGTCTGTGGTGCTGTGCAGCCTGACAGCAGAGGAGGAACCGTGTGAGGGGGGCGGCTTCCCACAGAACCTGCCAGCCTACCAGAACACCCAGGTAGGGGTGACTAGCCATGCCCTAGAGCCTGCTCTCCCCTTGCACACCTAGGCCCCCAAACGGGTGGGGAGAGGGAGCCGGGAGTCAGAGTCAAATCAGCTGCATGAGGAATGTGAGTCTGCCTTTGGGGCCTGGGCCTCTGCACCCCGGGGAGGGGCATCCATACATTCATTCATTCCACTCACTTCTGAGCCTCTCCTGTCTGCCCCTTCCCTCACAGAGCCCCATGGAAGGAGAGTGTTCCACAGGACCAGCATGGGATGGGTGCAGTCATAGGGACAGGCAGGGTGCCCTGGAGCCCATGGGAGGGAGAGCTGATGCGGCCTGGTCTCAGGGTCAGGTCAGCCCCCCTGGAAGAGTAATGTTTAAGATGAGACCTGAAGGATGGTTTGGGGTCAGCCAGGGAAAGAAAAGGGAACAGTGTTCCAGGACTCGGGAATGGCATAAGTAGAGATAGAGAGGGCGGGGGGGGGGGCAGAAGTGAAAACACGGTGAGGGCTGTGAGTCACCTGGAGGTGGAGTGTGTCTGGAGAGGCAGGAAGGAGCCTGAACCTCAGATTCGGGTCGGGGAAGTGGCACCATTAGAGCTGCCATTTTGGAAGATTCCCTCAGGCTACATGTGGAGAGGGCTACGTCTGGTCTGGGAACCTGATGTCTAGGCCCTGTCACCATCCTGCTCTTCACTGTACATGTGATCGGAAGTTACAACTTCCCCTAACTTCTGATGGACCGCTACTTTCTCCTTGGGTCTAGGGCCCAGGGCAGAAGACTCTCAGGACAAGTTAAGGGAAGCAGTGATGGTTCCTCTCACCCATTCATGTGTTTATTTAGCAAATAGTGACTGGGGCTTCCTCAGGCCTGTGGCCTGCAGAGGAGAGAGCATGGGAAAGTGGAGGGCAAGCCCAGCCAGGTGCTCACTGGGCTTGGCGCTCAGGCCCGGCCCACAGAACACAAGGCGAAGACAAAGCCTCAGGCAGGCGCTTCATGCCACCCTGAAAGGGAGAGAGCCAGTTAGACCTGGCTTTGAATCCCAGCTCTGCCACAGGTCCACTGTGGCAAAGTGACTCCGTTTCTACATCTGTAAGATGGGGGTAATAGCACCTACCTCGTTGAGTTGTAGTGAGGACCTGTGCCTGGAACATAGTGGCTGAGAGGGAAAGCAGTGACAGACAAGACTAGAAAGGAGGCAGGGGCCTGGTGAGAGGCTGTGGACTTGGAAGAACCCAGCACAGAGGGTGGCCGCCATTACTCCTCAAAGCAGAACGGGCCGCCTCCTGCCTCCTCTCATGAAAGCTGTTCCCCCTTCCTAAAACTTGTCACAGACCCCAGGGCTGCATGGCCACAGTGACAGAGATGCTGGTTGGGATGGGGCAGGGGGGCCATCTTGACATCTCTCTCTGCTCTCTCCAGGGCACCTCCCACCAGTGGCCAGTAACCATCCTGTCCTTTCGTGAATTCACCTACCACTTCCGAGTGGCACTGCTGGTGAGCACGCGCACCCAATCTACTGTGGAGGGCCAGGCACCTAGAGCTGCAGTGTGTGGCTTGGGGGAGGAGCAGAGGGTTTGCAGACCACATGGTAGAACTCGGGGCACGGTGTCCGGTGGTGTCAGCAGGGTGTGTGCTGACCCCCAGAGCCTCCTCACCCGTTCCCACTGCCCTTCCTCCCAGGGTCAGGCCAACTGCAGCATGGAGGCCCTGGTCCAGCCGGCCACAGACTACCACTTCCGCTTCTCCCGCCTGTGTGACTGAGCTGCCCTCCCCGAGGCAGCAGCACACCAGGGACCAGGGGCCCCTGGGCCCCCCTTCCGCACTGGATGCAGTGGTGTTACACTGGACCTGCGCTGGCTGGCTCTCTGCTGGCCACTGGAATTCCCTCCGCAGAGACTGAAGCCAGGGCTTGGCCCTCCCCGCGACTGGTCAAACTGGAAGTCCTCACACTGGAGTTGCTGTTCCTGCTGGGAGACCTTCACACACGGCAGAGGGAGCCAGAGACAGACCTCCTGGGCCTGCCTGCCTGCCCCCTTCCTCAGGGCCGGGACAAGGCCCATTCACATCTGTCTAGATGTGGTGGCTAGAGGGCTAGCTTCAAGTGCCCCGGAGGCCAGGGGAAGCCTGTACCCTGATTTTTCCAGAGCCCACTGTCCCCTACCTCCCGTTTTGAGACTGGGAGTGACCCCTCTTTTGGGAGAGGATCTGCCTGCCTTTGATATCAGCCGGGGGCTTGGATCCAGCCCTCAGAGACTTGGCTGGACCCATGAGTCAGTGGAGGGCAGAGCCCTACCCACACAGCTGCTCCCTAGGGGGTGGCTTGGTACTGGACTTTTGGGGTTTGACTGTTACACTGGACTTGGTCTTCTAAGCTTTAAGCACAGCCTAGGGGTTCTCTTCTCCCTGGGAGAGCTTGGCTCCCAAGAGCCCTCAGGGCAGCTGAGCCCAGCCCTGGATGGGCTGGGGACTGACCACGTGCCTTACGTACCCTTAGTGCCTGGCCAAAGCCACCCTCAGCCCTTGGCAGGCCTGAACCAGTGGGGGCCAGTGTGCTGGGTAAGCTGTGGACCCTTGAACCTGGAGGACCCCCCTGGGACGGGAAGTTATCTTGTGAGCCCCTAGACGGTGTTCCTGGGAACTCCAGAGTTCCCAGTGGGTGTCCATGACTCCAATATTCTCTGAGCAGGGGAGCAGGGATCCCTGCAAGGCCACAGGCGGTCTTGGCTGATGGGTGGAGGCAAATAGCTTTTGCTGTTATTAACCAAGTAATTACTAAAATGCACTTAAACCAGGACAGGAAGGAGTGGGAGAATGGAGCTAGAAAGCCGACAGCGGGCCAGAGCCCTGGGGTGACACTTGCAAAGACAAGGCAGCAACTCCCATCCTGTCTAGCCCTACTACCGCCAAGCTGCTGGCCTCTCCCTCACTCTTGTCTGCTAGTGGCCTTCCTCAAAGGCTCCCTTGCTGGAATGGGACAGCCAGGCTGTAGAAACCCATGCTTGGCAGTGGGCCCCACCATGGCCCACCCTTTCAGGAGCAGAGTGATGGCCTTGGGTTAGTGAAGACGTTTCATCTCAAATGCCAAGTTCATTCACTTTCTGAGTGTGCGCCTGGAGCATTCTGAGGCCACATTCAGGCTGAGAGAAGGAGAATCATTTAGCGATATCTGCTCTGGGTTCAAGGAGCCCTGGTGGTGCAGTGGTTAAGCACTCGGCTGCTAACCAAAAGCAGCCACTCCTTGGGAGAAAGATGTGGCAGTCAGCTTCCATAAAGATTTATAGCCTTGGAAACCCTACAGGGCAGTTCTGCTCTGTCCTATAGGGTTGTTATGAGTCAGAATCAACTTGACGGCAGTGAGTTTTTTTGGTTTTGGCTCTGGGTTCAGAAATGAAATTTGCTATCCTTGCCCTGTGGTGTCCTGCCACCTATTTGGGAACTGGGCCTTGCCCCATCCTACCTCTCATTCTCAGTTTGAATGGAGGGCTTTCTGTGGGGAAGCCAACTGAAGCAGCCTGTGAACTGCAGGCCCCTCTGCCATGCATCTCAAAGCACTTATGGCCAGGATTGGGAAACACCAGGGGAGCTTGTGTAGCAGGGATACCAGCCCCTCCCCAATTTGGCTCCACTCCTCATTCTGACATAGGAAGTCTGTGGCTCCCGGTAGCTTGGGGAGCCGAGCCTTACTTAGGACTGCTGTTCTCCCTCCTCCCGCTGGGGGAGCCCTCCCTAGTGCCTCAACATAGCGAGTCTGTCCCTTGTAATAGGATTCTGGGGTTTCTTCCTTGGGGTGTGGATGTTCTTAGACTGCTGCCCCTCAGTCCATAACTGGAAAGTGACCCTCTCCTGCCCCCTGGAGCCCATCTGGACACAGCACCGCCCCAATCTGGTTAGCAGCTGGCTCTGTTTCCAGGCCTGGGAAAGGAGTCCCCAGTGCAGGAGTTGGGACTCCAAGCTGCTTGAGGGGGTAAACCTTGGACCAAAGTTGCCTTATACCCAAGGTAAAAGGGCTTCAGGAAGACACAGGGCTGCCAGGCTGGCGCTAGAGGAGGGGGTGGTGTCTCAGCTCCATTCCCCACCTGGGGTCTGGCAGCCCATTCCTCCCTCCCCTTCCTTCAAGCTGTACATAGGGCCTTGCAGTGCACAATTCCCCCCACCCACGCTATCACCCCCTTGAAAGCCTGCGTGTGCATAGAGCACCCCTCCCCCAGTTAACTCCCAGTTCCTCTCCCTGAGCTCTGACTCATATTTATCTTGTACCAACTCTGAGGGGGGCAGCGAGGGAAGCAGCCCTAGGCCTGCTTGCTTCCTGTCCCTGGTTCTTTGTTCCTGGAGTAAATATACATATATAAATAAATATATAAATACTGCTTTGTATCTGAGCTTGCCTCCTCATCTCTTGAGACTGTTCTGGTGGGAGCCAGGGCCAAGTGGAACTCAAGGTTTTTTCCAAGATGTCTAGAATCTTGGGGGCTCTGCTAGAGATGCTTTGTAACCATTATCCTTTTTGGCTTCATAGTAGGGTTGGGGACAGGACTCAGTAACCACTCCACTGTCCACACCTCTTCCTTCACACAGACGTGCTGCTGCCCTACCTGGCATAAGAGTAGCCACTTACGGGTAAAGCCTTCTCAGAGGATAAGCTGAGCCTTACGAGGGTGCCCCAGCCCAGAGGAGGGTGGTTACTTGTAGAGGAGGGACCGACCAGCCCAGGGCAGAATGGATTGGTACAGGTCCCTAGAGGAGTTTGCTCTAGAAATGACAGAGAGGGCAGGCCTGGACCCTTCCTATCCACAGGTGAGTCTTAGATGCCAATAGCACAGATACCCTTCCCACACTCCCCTAACCCCCTGGAGGTGGACAGCAGCAGGAGCCATCAGAAGGGCAGATGAAAAATGGGAAAGGGTGGGACTGGGGAAGTCACATCAGTCCCAGCAGCACCCCCACCCCCACAGAACGGACACCAGACAGGACTGTCACACATCTGCCTTTATTGTGAGCAGCAGGTGGGACAGTTCCAGCAATAGTAAAAAAAAAAAAAAAACAACTTATTTATGAAAGTAGGGATTCAGTGAAGCCGCCTGGTTAGTACCTGAAAGAGGAGAGGAGTATCAAAGTGAGACCAATGACCGCCTCCTTTTCTCACTGAATCTCTATGCCCCTGGGGCACGCCAAGGGCTGACAGGCACACTCCTCTGAAGCTGACTGCCCAGAGCCAATTCTCAGTGATTTTCTGCAGATTATCTGCAGCGCGTTTTAAGTCTCAGATCCTGGCCCTTTCTGGGCAGCCTCTCCAAGTCACTGCATCACCATGGGAAGCCCGTGCCCACATCCCCACAGAGCACATTATCCAGTCAGTGTGTGGAGAACCCAGAACTGACAACGTGGTCACACTTGGCTCAAATCTCCATTATTGTTAGTTGCTGCCAAGTCGATTCCAACTCAAGGCAACCCCATGTGTTCTAGAGTAGAACTGTTCCATAGGGTTTTCATGGCTGTGACCTTTTGGAAGCAGACTGCCAGGCCTGTCTTCCGAGGTGCCTCTGGGTGAGTTCAAACTGCCCAACCTTTTGGCTAACGGTCAAGTGCTTAACCATTTGTGCCACCCAGGGACTCCCATTAGGGACATGGGAAGAGGCACATGTGCCTAGTGTCCCTATCCATTCTGCAAGGTCTGTCTGTTAACCACAGGTAAGGGCAGGAGGACTGTTGAGGTAGGTGTGGAAAGGCTTCTCCAGGCTGTGCCTTGGAGGCTCAAGCATCCAGCCCTGACATGGATCTTACCTTTGGGAGTCATACATAGATGCCAACCCAGAGCAGCAGGAAGAGGACTCCAAAGCCCATGAAGAGTGAGGCCACCAAGGAGATGAGGAGCTCTTTGTAGATATCCCGCGTGTACTTGGTGGAGGTTACCTCGTAACTGGATTGGGCTGTTAAGGAGAAGCAAAGGGATGGACTGGGGGGTGCAGGGAGCCTGGCCAGTGTAATGGCGGCTGAGCAAGGTCTGGGCTAAGGCGTTCTGGGAGGCTTGTCTGGCTTGGTGAGGCCAGGCAGAGTGTCCCAAGAAATGACCTGCGCTATGGTGGCCCATCCCACCCCTCCACACCCCCTGAAGAAAATGAGGCCCAGAGTGGTTTTACCCCAGGCCACACAGCTAATGAGTGGTGGAGCTGGGACTAGCGCTCAGACCTCCTGACATCTGAGTGCACCTTTTTACCACCTTGCCCACTTCAACTCCCCTACCCCCAGCCTCTACTCTAGCCAAGCCCTCTGCTCACTGTCCTGGAAATCTGAAGAGCAAACTCAGCTCACCTGAACTGGGGAAATAAGGCCACAACCTGACCTTGGGCATCAACAGTCTTCCCTTGACCTCCTTACCTTCCCCCAGCCCCAACCCAATGTACAAAATTGGCAGAGTGCATGTATCCAGCGTGGTTTCTCCCTCAGCTTCCCACATTGCTAACTCTGGCCCACTGGCTGCTCAGTGAAAGGATACACAAAGAACCAGGCAGTGAAGAACATGCCAATGGCCAACAGCACCACGGTCAGATGGGGGAAGACAGCCGGGTTCACCGGGCTGGTATACCTGCTCATGGCCTCAAGCTCCTAGGGAGGACATGAGATCACAGCCATCAAAGAATCCCATGACTTCAACATGCGGGACTTGAGGATTAGCAAGAGCCTTGTGCCGCTGTGACTGCTAGAGACCCATTTCAGCTTGGGAAATGTGGAAATCTTTCAGAACCAACATCAAGTGATTCAATTTATGAATGACAATAGTATCAACAATAATTACAATTGTATCTTAAACTAAAATAGCACTTTGTCTTTTCAATGAGACAGGAAGGGCAGCTGAGACACGGAAGGTGATTAGCTGTAAATCAATGGTCATAAACATTTTCTGAGGCCAATGACCCCTATGAAAATGTGATGAGAAGTATGGACTTTCTGCCTGGGAAAACGCACATACAAGAAAAATTTTTGCCTAAAGTTTTAGAGGCTCTATGCATACATGTCTAAAGACACCAGGCTAAGAATCCCTGTTGTAAGTCACACAACATGGACTGGTACCCAGCTCTCCACTTCTAATTCAGTATTCTTCCCACTAAACTATTACAGCATCTCAGGATATACAGGCAAATGACATCAGTTAAAATTCTGGCTCTATTGATTAATATGAGTCTCAGTTAAGTGTTGTTGTTGTTAGGTGCCATCAACTCATAGCGACCCTATGTACAACACAAAGAAACACTGCCGGGTCCTGGGCCATCCTCACAATTGTTGTTATGCTTGAACCCACTGTTGCAGCCACTGTGTCAATCCATCTCTTTGAGTGTCTTCCTCTTTTTCACTGACCCTCTACTTTACCAAGCATGATGTCCTTCTCTAGGGTCAATGGCCTCAGTTGAGTGGTTATTAATATCCATCTCACAGGGTTGGTGTATGATTTAAGAAAGATGATGTATGTCAAAGCATCTAGCTCCGTGGCTGGCACAGAGTAGTTGCTCAATAGGTGTTTGTTTCCTTCCTAAGGTTATAGGGAAGATTATGAAATAATGCCTGTGAAAGAGAGCTGTAACCCCAAAGTTCTGAACACATGTTAATTTCCATTGTCACCCATCAGCCAACGCTTCTAGCATCCAGAACATAACTCTGGAGAAGTAAACTGACCCCATTGTTCTACAAGACACTGCAATTCAATTCAGTAAACATTTATGCCCCCCTGAAAATGATAAATACAATCGCTGCCATTTACTGAGCGTCTCATTGCGGGCCCTGTGTGTGGCACTGGGAATACAAAGATGAATAGACATCATCCCAGAGCGAGATACACGTCAGATGGAGGTCACTGGGAGGTGTGGCAGATAACAAAGAAGTCCATGAAACGTGGTAAGAGGTCTATACAGAGCTGTGGGAGCTCCCGGGAAAGAGTAGCCAACTGCCTGAGAGTTGGAAACCCTTCACCAAGATGACATTTGCCTGGGGCCTTACAGGATGAGTACGAGTACGGCAGGGGGAAGAACTTCCCAGACAGAGATAACAGCTTGGGCAAAAGCGCCAAGGTATTAAAAGTGCACCCCATGCCCTCCCACCCTTACAAATCGTGTGATCAAAACCTCAACCTAAGAGTCCACAGCGAGGGGCTTCCCTTTCTCGCCCCTCGGTCTAAGCCAGAGATTCCAGGAGCTTCCCGCCCCCTGGCTCTCGGGCGCTTAAAGTCTCCGGGAGAGAAACGAGGTGCGGGGCGGGTACTAAGGGGCTCCCCACAGCCTTCTTCGGAATTCCCCCCAACCGTCTCACCATCTTGCCGGACACTGGGTACGCCGCCGCTTTACCACCGGAAGAACACGTTGGCAGGAGATAGCGCCCTGTTCAACCGGAAGAGGAAGTGCCCTCACGCAAGTGGCATTGTGGAACTTGTAGTCCTGTCGTTTGGGCAGTAGTGGAAGCCGGAGTCTGCGGGGGTCTGGTTTGGAGTTAGGGGAAGCGGTGGAGAAGGGTAGTCCAGAGTCGCTGATAAAGTTCGTTCATGCTGGCGGGACCGTTTACCGTGAGAGAAGCTGGCTGAGGGGACCGAGGCCTGGACTACAATCCCCAGGAGGCTGTGCACGGCGAATAGGTCACGTGACGGGAGCGCGGGCTTTGGAAGACGGAGGAGCGTGAAACTACTACCGGCGGAACTGAGGAGATTGTGGGGTTTAGGATTGTTCTGGGCAACGTCCTCGGGTCGCTACCCGACCAAACGCTAGCTGCTGAGGCCTCGCGCCCCATACCCCAGGTGAGACCGTACGGGAAGCATTTACGAGAGCGACAGGGGCCGCTTTGCGCTGTTTCTGTGCGGACAGATCTTCCAGGCGGAGGCGAGAGCGTGCGGGCTTCTCAGTCAGGAAGTCCCGCAACTTTCCTGCTCTGAGACTTGGACCATTCGCGTAACCTCGGAACCCTTCCTTTTTCGTCTGTGGAAAGAGGATAATAACTTCCACCTTGTGAGGTCGTTATGTGTTTTCACTAAGATCCTGGGTGAGAAACATTTTTTAAACTTAACTTGTGTAGGCCCCTTTCCTGCCTACCTCTGTTGGATGCTGTGGGAGATAACACCCTTTTAGTGCACATTCTAGGAGCCCTGGTGGCGCAGTGGTTAAGCGCTCGGCCGCTAACCAGAAGGTCGGCGGTTTTAACCCACTGGTCGCTCCGCGGGAGAAAGATGTGGCAATCTGCTCCCTTAAAGATACAGCCTAGGAAACCCGATGGGGCAGTTCAGCTCTATCCTGTAGGGTCGCTATGAGTCGGATTCGACTCGACGGCAATGGGTTAGTGTACATTCTAGCAAAGCAGCCAACTCGAGGCCTGAACCAATGGTCTGAATGGGTTTTGGATGGGGAACATTTACAGAGCGTCTAATGTGTGACAGGAGTTTTACACCTGTTACCTCAGTTAACTGTCGCAGTAATCCTGCAGGACAGGCGTGGTTATCACTTTTATAGATGAAAAGACTGAACTTACATGACTTAATAATGTTACCAAAAAAACCCATTGCCTTCGAGTAGATTCCGATTCATTGTGACCCTATAGGGCAGAGTAGAACTGCCCTATAGGGTTTCCAAGGAGCAGCTGGTGGATTTGAACTGCCGGCTTTTTTGTTAGCAGCCGATCACTTAACCACTGCACCACGAGGGCTCCAGTAATGTCACACAGATGGTAAATGCTGGAGCCTAGATTCAAGGCCAGAGCTTTTGCCACTGCTGTTCACAGGGCAAAGGTCCCTGGGTGGCACAAAGGATTTGTGCTGGACAACCTAAGGTTGGCAGTTTGAAACCACCCAGTGATGCTGCAGAAGAAAGGCCTGGCAATCTGCTTCCGTAAGCATTACTGCCAAGAAAACCCTATAGAGCAGTTCTGTGTAACACATGGGGTCGCCATGAGTTGGAATGGACTCGACAGCAGCAGGTTTGCTTTGTTTTATTCACAGGGGAACTAAAGTGAGTTGGATCTTGAAGGAGGGAGGGATAAGAGGATGGTGGGAAAAGGGCACAGCTGAACAAAAGTGAGAAAGGGCAGGCCTACCTCAGCCTTTCTGCTGGATTTCAAGACTGTAAAGGTAGCTTAGGAACCAGAGCATGGAAGATCTTGATGCCTTGCTGAGGTATTTGGACTTAATTAGGAGGAGGAATGTAATAGGTTCCTTATGCTGTAGAAAGAATCCTGTGAAGGAAGAGTGGGAACAATTAGAAGGCTTAGTACAGTGTTTCTTAGACTGTTGGCTGCATACCACCAGTGGCTGCAAGATGACTAAGTGGCACCCAACAAATCTTTTTTAATAGTTACACACTTAACACAAATTAAAATATTAACTGATATAACACAGATATTACTGCTTTTAAGATGGGTTCTCTTTTTCAACTTATTTTAGTTAAAAACAAAAAACAAACCTGTGTCTATTGAAAGAAATTTTTAAGTTAATGGAAGTACAGGTTTTAGGTGGATGTGGCAAAAATTGTGAGGGTGGTTTTGGCCTGACTGAGGTTTGAGGTTGAGGAAAGATTTGATAAGAGACCTGAACCACAGAAGTGCAACAGTGGGCTGAGTTACACAGTATGCCAGGCCCCTAGATCAGGACCTGGAGTGGGGTACAAGCCTTGGATTTCACATTTCAGATCTAGTGATGGAAAGAAAACCCAAACGGAAAAGACTGAAAACTCTTAGCAACATCATGTTAAAAGTGAAAACTCTTCAGTGCTGAGGGGCTCCTGAAGGGAGCAGGGTGTGAGAGCCACAGATACGTTATTGTTGCCAGTCCTGCAGGGCTGCTAAGAGGAGGTGAGCCAGAGGATTGAGTTGAAGGTGTTTAATGACTGGTGTAAAGACACAAAGAAGGAATGAACATGTTCGATGATTGTCAGGAAGATAGCTACTCATTATTATATGTCTATTTGACTACTTTATACATCCGGCTATGTATTACGATTGCTTTTGTACCTTTCTCATTTCGCCTTTGCTTAGCTGATATTTGCCTGTCCTTCTGGGCTTAGTTCTGCCATTAAGATCCCTGAACTCCTCAAGCTGAGCCCAGCACCCCTCTGGACTTCTATGATCCTTGATGCAGACGTCTGTTGTAGCCCTCGTTTCATGTTAGATTATGCCACTACCTTATCCACGAAACTTTAAGCCCCTCAAGGACGTCAACATCGTCTTGTTCCTCTTTGCACACAGTTCAGTTCCTGATACTCAGTAAGCCTTAGTTAATATTCATTGAACAAATGCTCCTGTGAGACCATACGTTTTTTGAGAATGGGAACCATGTCTTGTTCATTTTTTCAACTTCTGCAATGCTGACTTGGTTTCCTTTTTGTTGTGCTGAATTTGTTCACTAAAGGTATAAAGTTGGTAAGCTAGCACAAATTATAACCCTCGCTCCTTTTACATCCTTAAAGTTCCTCCTTCTCTTAACTGCCCCCCCCCTTTCTTTTTAAGCTGCTCCTCCTCTGTGTTGCCATGGGAATTCAAGGTCTGGCCAAACTGATTGCTGATGTGGCCCCCAGCGCCATCCGGGAGAATGACATCAAGAGCTACTTTGGCCGCAAGGTGGCTATCGATGCGTCCATGAGTATTTATCAGTTCCTGATTGCTGTTCGCCAGGGTGGTGATGTGCTGCAGAATGAAGAGGGCGAGACCACCAGCCACCTGATGGGCATGTTCTATCGCACCATCCGCATGATGGAGAACGGCATCAAGCCTGTGTACGTCTTTGATGGCAAGCCACCACAGCTCAAGTCAGGTGAGCTGGCCAAACGCAGTGAGCGGCGGGCTGAGGCAGAGAAGCAGCTGCAGCAGGCTCAGGCTACTGGGGCAGAGGAGGAGGTGGAAAAGTACACCAAGCGGCTGGTGAAGGTCACCAAGCAGCACAACGATGAGTGCAAGCAGCTGCTGAGCCTCATGGGCATCCCATACCTTGACGCACCCAGTGAAGCGGAAGCCAGCTGTGCCGCCCTGGTGAAGGCTGGCAAAGTCTACGCCGCGGCCACTGAGGACATGGACTGCCTGACCTTCGGTAGCCCCGTGCTTATGCGGCACCTGACTGCCAGTGAGGCCAAGAAGCTGCCCATCCAGGAATTCCACTTGAGCCGGATTCTGCAGGAGCTGGGCCTGAACCAGGAGCAGTTTGTGGATCTGTGCATCCTCCTGGGCAGCGACTACTGTGAGAGCATCCGGGGCATTGGGCCCAAGCGGGCTGTAGACCTCATCCAGAAACACAAGAGCATCGAGGAGATCGTACGGCGGCTCGACCCCAACAAGTACCCCGTGCCAGAAAATTGGCTCCACAAAGAGGCCCAGCAGCTCTTCCTGGAGCCCGAAGTGCTAGACCCAGCGTCTGTGGAGCTCAAGTGGAGTGAGCCAAACGAAGAAGAGCTGGTCAAGTTCATGTGTGGTGAAAAGCAGTTCTCTGAAGAGCGAATCCGCAATGGGGTCAAGCGGCTGAGCAAGAGCCGCCAGGGCAGCACCCAGGGCCGCCTGGATGATTTCTTCAAGGTGACGGGCTCTCTCTCTTCAGCTAAGCGCAAGGAGCCAGAACCCAAGGGATCCGCAAAGAAGAAGGCGAAGACTGGGGCAGCAGGGAAGTTCAAAAAGGGGAAATAAACATGTATTTTCCCCCATTATACCTCCTTGGCCCCAGAATGTCTGCCTTGTACCCTCAAAAGCTAGAGCTAGAGTGACCTCCATCAGGATGGGGAGAGATTCCATTGCTTCTCTAGCACTATCTTTCTCAGCAGTGCTTTTCCGTTTTTGACTTGATCATATAGCAAGACGGCCATTGAGGTGCTTTGTTGTCTTCTTTGTTTGCTCAGGAAAGTGTGTCAGGCTCAAACCACTTCTCAGGCAGTTTAATGAATCCATTGTTATACGAAAGTGATGAAGGAGTCCTGGTGGCGCAGTGGTTTTTGAGAAAGGAAGGGGAGGTGAATTATTTCCTTGCTGGCCAACTAGTGGCTAATGGGAGGTGACGGTGGAACCAGACTGCTGCTCTCGCCTAGTTCGGCCTTGATCCCACCTGAACAATAGCCGTCAGGAAAACCAAGACTTAACGGATGGGAAGAACTACTGAGAAATAACAGGCAGAGAGCTGGAGTCCCTGGAGTTGGCAGGGTTGAATTACTGGCTGTGTTGCTGGGGGTGGGCAGAAACTTGAACCTGCTATGTAATTTGAGTCTTTGCAGTGGTGGTTCAGAGAAGTAAGATGGAGATGTTCTCATGGCCTCTGAGGCAATCAGCTGAGTTGAGACTTTGGGATAAAATGCTGGTTTCTACATGTTTTTGTTTCAAAGATATGAGGGGAAAAAAAGTCAATAAAATTATAAAAGTAACTGGAATGCTATGCTCTTTGAGAACATTTGAAAACACCTAGAGTACCCCAGGCTCCAGACAAATGTAATGTTCTACTTTTTACCCCAAGGTAACTTCCTGGACTTGTATGATATTAACAGTAGTGGTTTGAGAGTGGCCACAAGGTGGTGCCATGTTCCATAGAATGGCACAGCAGCTATGGTGGTATTTCAGCCATTAGAAGGAGGCGGCCTAATTTATTTTAACTTGGCTGGCAAAAAAGAGTGTTAATAAATTGAGTGGCTTTCTCGTTTTCCACCTAATGTATGTGAGATAAAGGAACTCATTTGAAAAAGCTTCACAGTTTATTTTATTCAACTTTTTTTTTTAATTGTACTTCAGATGGTTTACAGAGCAAACTAGTTTCTTGCTAAACAATTAATACACATACTGTTTTGTGACATTGGTTGCAAACCCCATGACATGTTACCACTCCCCTTCTCGACCTTGGGCTCCCCATTACCAGCTTTCCTCTCCCCTCCTGCCTTCTCGTTCTTGTCCCTGCGTTGGTGTGCCCATTTAGTCTCTCTTTTTTTTTTATAATGGGCCTGTCTAATCTTTGTCTGAAGGGTGAACCTCAAGAATGACTTCATTACTGAGCTTTAAGGGCATTTGGGGGCCATACTCTTGGGGTTTCTCCAGTCTCTGTCAGACCAGTAAGTCTGGTCTTTTTTTGTGTGAGTTAGAATTTTGTTCTACATTTTTTTCCAGCTCTGTCCAAAACCCTCTGTCAGAGCAGTCGGTGGTGGTAGCCGGGCACCATCTAAAAGCCTCAAAATTTAGATCAACTACTCCATGTTGTTAGGTACCCTCGAGTCGGTTCTGATTCATAGTGACCCCATGTACAACAGAAGGAGACACTGCCCAGTTCTGTACCATCCTCACAATTGTTGCTATGTTTGAGTCCATTGTTGTAGCCACTGTGTCAGTCCATCTCATTGAGGCTCTTCCTGCTTTTTGCTGACCCTCTACCAAGCATGGTGTCCTCCAGGGATTGGTCTTTCCCAGTAACATGTCCGAAGTACGTAAGACAAAGTCTCACCATCCTTGCTTCTTTGGAGCATTCTGGCGGTACTTCTTCCAAGACAGATTTGTTCCTTCTTCTGGCAGTCTGTGGTATATTCAGTATTCTTTGCCAACACCATAATTCAAAGGTGTCAATTCTTTGGTCTTCCTTAATCATTGTCTAGTTTTGCATAATTATGAAGCGACTGAAAATATCATGGCTTGAGTCAGGCACAGCTTAGTCCTCAAAGTGACATCTTTGCTTTCTACCACTTTAAAGAGGTCTTTTGCAGCAGATTTGCCCCATGTAATACATCATTCTTGACTGCTGCTTCCATGGACATTGATTGTGAATCCAAGTAAAATGAAATCCTTGACAACTTCGATCTTTTCTCCATTTATCATGATGTTGCTTATTGATCCAGTTGTGAGGATTTTTGTTTTATGTTGAGGTGTAATCCGTACTGAAGGCTGTAGTCTTTGATCTTCAAAGTCTTCTTTGAAGACTGCTTCAAGTCTTCTTCCCTACTCCATAGCATCCAAGTATTTACCAGTTTAGTAAATTGTGAAGGCTGCCATTCAGAATCACTCTGTTCTTTTTATGACATCAGGGTCAGGTCAGTGTATCTTGTAGAGAGGAAATGTTTTTGTAATCCTGATGAAGCTTGGTTGGGGCTGTCCTATTTGAGTTTTTCATTGTTTAGCATTCCTACTATCATTGCCATTTGCAGTTAACAAGGACACTTAATTTAACTGTCTGAAATTTAAGTTGGCAGTGTCTTGACAGACTAAACAGGTTTCAAATCTTTAAACGGAACAACCCATTTTTCAAGTATAATCTTATGTGGAATCTCAGGACATAAGGGCTGTGGTTGAAGCAGGAGTGGGATACAGTCTCCCCAGCAACCGCCTCATAACTATAGATGACTCTAAAAACTAATGGTGTAGACAGTTCTGCAGTGAAATGTAAGTTCCTGAGGGTAGGCATCTTGTTCACTGCTGTATCGCTAGTAGTTGATGAACCTAGTTTGAACCAAGCTACAAAACTTACGTTTTCTAATTCAAGTAATTTGATTCTCAGCTTGCAGTAATGGTGATAGGACCCGGAGTGTTGAGACTTCTTAAAGAATTATCTCCTCAGTGCAGCAACTCTAGTTAAGGGCTAGTACTTTCTGGTAGTCAAGCACGTAGTGGTTTGTTTTTTGAACTGTTTAATAGCTTAACTTTGGGCACATCGCAGGGAAAATCAATTCTGCCTACAAAATTTTTATTTAACGTATTGTAATACTGACACATGAGAAGCCTTGGTGGCACCGTGGTTAAGTGCTTGGCTTGCTAACTGAAAGGTTGGCAGTTCCAACCCATCAGCCGCTCCACAGGAGAAAGATGTGATAGTCTGCTTCCACAAAGATTACAGCCTTGGAAACCCTATAGGGCGGTTACACCCTGTCCTATATGATCGCTGGGTCATAATCAACTCGATGGCAGTGGGTTTTGTTTTGTTTTTAATATTGACACAGGGAACCCTGATGGTGCAATGGTTAAGTGCTTGGCTTCTAACTGAAAGGTTGGCAGTTCCAACCCATCAGCGGCTCTGCAGGAGAAAGATGTGATAGTCCACCCTATAGGGCGGTTACATCCTGTCCTATATGATTGCTGGGTCATAATCAACTCGACAGCAGTGGGTTTTTGTTTTGTTTTAAATATTGACACAGGGAACCCTGATGGTGCAATGGTTAAGTGCTTGGCTGCTAACCAAAAGGTTGGCTGTTCCAACCCACCCAGTGGCTCTGTGGGAGAAAGACTTGGTGATCTGCTTCCATAAAGATTACAGCCTAGGAAGCCGTATGGAGCAGTTCTACTCTGTCACATGGGGTTGCTATGAGTCAAAAATTGATTCAGTGGCACCTAACAACAATACTGACACCAGGGGTCACCATGAGTTGGAATGAACTCCATAGCCACTGGTAATATTGTTCTTGCTTAGAGAGGAGAGCTGTTCTAGTAGGATGGAAGGTTAAAAAGGCATTGCTTTGCTGTCCAGCTCTGAAGCATTTTTCCTGCAAAGATTTAGGCAAATTGGATTTATGAGACTATTGAGACTAGAAATGAGTTAAAAAGTACAGAGAGAAAATGACTCAAGATGGAAAACTGAAGGACAAAAGGGTGAGGAAAATAGGAAATGGTGCAAATAAAACCTGGCAAGCGTGATCTAGGTAGTCTAGCACATGAACATATGGATAAAAGGATGTCATGGGAAGGAGTTGGCCTCTTTTCCTTGCCAACTCTTGGCTTGGTATTTTTTGGAGGGCCCTGATGCTCCTTCTTCTGACCAAGGGGCTTATGCAAGAGGGGAGGGGTGTCTGCAGTGACTCGTGTTCAGAAAGCTAGTCATGCAGAGTGAGTAGTAACTTAAAGCAGAGGTACCAGGAAGTCCTGTGCACATACGTGTAGAAGGTCACCCTGGATTAAAAGGAACAGCCTTCATCTGGTCAAAATTAACTTTATTTTTCAGTTTTACTTCATCAGAATGTGGTAACAAAATTGGTAGATACAAAAAGGATACTGATACCAGGACTAATTAAAATGCCTCCAGCCAGGTGGTAGGAAGATGGAAGTGACAAAGGTAAACAGAAGTTGGAATAAAAGTGAGTTCAGATGTTAGCTATGTGGCTGGAGGTCCCTTTTCCTCTCTCAGCCTAATTTCTCACGTCAGCATCTGGAATTAAGAGCGCTCGTTAATATTCTAGCAGTCTGAGACTTGTCACCAGTGTGCGCCTTTGTGGCTGTGTGAGAGACCACTGGTATAGGCTGAGAAGGCCACAGTGGTTGCAATGCTCTGAGGACTTGGTGTCAGCAGAGCCTCACTGGTGTTCCCTCAGACTGGGCAGCCTGGGACCCAAGGACCGGCCTGGGCAGGCTGGTGACGCCCACACCCAAATCTCAGGTGGCAGGAAACGGATGGGGAAGGATCAGCGCCTATTCTGGAGTGATGAAGCGAATGAAAGTAGAATTCTGCAGTTAGGATCGTGATTTTTCTACCATGTTATCCAGCTGGGCAATTCTAAATCTGCCCAAGTGGAAAAAGATCTGAACCTTTCTTCAACCTGTTTGCTTCGGCAGGCCTCCAAGAAATGGACAGCCTCTCCAGAGGTGGTGGTGCCTCTAAGCCCACCCTAACATGTCAGGACCCTCATCTTCCTGACTATCTGCTAATCCCTCCCAAAACTACATATGACCTCTTCTAGGGCTCTGCTTTTTCCTTCCAGTGTCCAAAACGCTCAGTATGTTTACAGGGGATGCTGTTGAAGAGGTGAAGTAACAATTCCTTCACCTGGATTGAAACGCTGTGGGTTTGGGGAGGGGAGAGGAGGGTGTGAATGCTGACAAGCCTTGGGAGTACGGGGAGACTCCTGGCACATTCCTATGCTCACTCTCGAGAGTGACACACTTTTAAGAGATTATCCTAAATTCCTACCTGGTCCCCAGCAGAATAAAATACTCAATGGACAGAATAAGATGTCTAACTATAGCAATGATCACCAACTTGTTTTTAATCTTCCTATTTCTGGTTTAGAACTATGAAGTGATGTGTAACCCACTGCTTCTTCTCAGAAACAATGCACTAATGTTATTTAGGTTTAGGCAGTTTCTGCTTATACCCTTTATAGCCTTTATTTCTGAAACTCGTGTTTTTCTTCAGGACTGGTTAAGTTAGTATCTCCCCACTTGGTCACTTGAGCTCACTGGCTGCTATTTCATGGAATTGTAGGTAGGGAAGCAAAGGGAAACCACTGGGAGCCCCTCTTGTTTCTAGAGAGGGAAAAGGAGTGAGTTCCCCTATCTGTTCACTGGCTTATGGCACAAGAATTGGACTCTCAGTCCTGGGAGTGTTCTTTCCCTTGGGTGGTGGTTAGAAGAGGTAAGAGCTAGGACCTAATGCCCCCTCTGTACCCTGGATAGAGCACAAGGCCAGAATCGGTGATGCCACAATCCTTTAGGGTCAGATTCTCTAGTACTGCAGTCTTGAGTTTTACCCTGCCTGCTTCTAAAGTTGGAATTGGCTTTTCCCAGGAGCCTGAGGCATATACTTTGTAGCCAGGTCCCACCTGGCCCTGGGCAGTACGCTGAGCTCCCACGCATGGGCTTGTGCCAGGCCTCAGAACTCTAGGCACTAATGCTTCCCCTCTACATCTTGCTCAGAAGGTTCGGCTGCTGTGTCCCTCCAGCTTGCAAACCTCTGAGCTTTGCAAGGGAGGGCGGGGAAGGCACTGTGAAGTGAACCAGTGAGATGAGCTCACCGCTTACCTGGGTGGGATTTGAGAGCTAAGTCTCTCCTTGACCCTTCTGGGCCCAGTAGATCCTCCCTATTCTTCTGGTACCCTCTGGGTTCCCTCTTTCTTAGCAACCATTTGTATCTGCCAAACTAGAAAAAGGAATTAACCAAACTCTCTCATCCCTATTCCAATAGCTCCTTTCCTCCTGGGAGATTAGGATGCCCCCCTCCACCCACTTTGGGTCTTAGATCTGTGCCTAGAAGATAAAACGGGAGAGGTATGAGTCAGAGCTTTTCTCTCCCCAAACCCACCCCTCTCTGCATTAGAATTGTAGTGGCATTGTCCTTAAGCTCCCCTCTGCTTTGGCTCCAAAGGCTCCTCTTCCGCTTCCAGATGGGGGGCTGTTATTGGTGAAGATAGGCGTCTAGCCAGAGCTGCCCCGACTCCTTCAGTGAGCTGCGGAGGCAAAATGGGAGCAGTGAGGGAGACAGTGGAGCTGAAGCGAAAGCCAGACAACCCCCTCCAGAAATGTAGGAGTGGGGTTCTTGCAGAGATACAGAGGCTGACCTCCATGACTTAAGGCCCCCGTCCATTTGAAGGCGTTCCTCCCCTTCCCTTCTGAGGAAGATGGCTTGGTTGGTGGCACTGAGGTGAGCGCCAGTGAGAGCGAAGCCCTGACTTGGCCACAAGACCAACTGAATGCCTTGCCTATGCCATGGTGACCTCCATCCAGAGGACTAGGAACCCTCCTGTTGCTCCCCAGCCCACATTCACAACCCATCCCATTGCCTCTGTCCTCTCTTCCCTCCCTACCAGCCATGTTCCCAGGCTCAGATACTCACTGGACAATGTCGGCGAAGGCCAAGAGCAGAGGCTTCGACTGGTACTCTATGCCGTACTTGGCACATAGGGACTGCACCAGGGGGGCCACTTTGTGGTAATTGTGTCGTGGCATGGTGGGGAAAAGGCTTCAGGGAGAAGAGGGGAAAGTCAGTGGCTCTTGTTTCTCCCACCGCCCACCACACTGAGATCCCCCGAGAACCCTGCTTCCCAGGTCTCCCTACTCACTGGTGCTCAATCTGGAAGTTGAGATGTCCACTGAACCAGTCATTGAAGAAAGACTTGTGGACGTTGCATGTTGCCTGAAGCTGAAGGAAAAGGCCAAGTGAGAGTGTGTCCCTGGGTATCAGGTGGAAAGGTCAGCCAGGTAAAGCTGGCAGAGAGGAGAGAGCATGGCACTGCCCCCTGGTTGGTCCCTTCATGTGGTGGCAGGAAAGAAGCCTCAAGCTAATGAAGCAATGCTGTTTGGGGGCCTTTTTTTTTCTCCCTGTTACTGCCTCCCACCCCCCACCCTATGCCTGTGCCCACCCACCCTTTTTATTAGTTGTGTTATGTCAGGGTCTTCCAAGTAACCTTGCCTTACCTGGGTGGAAACCCAGTCCTTGTTCTGGTCATAGTCAATGTGCATGGGGATGTGGTTCATCTGGGTCACCCACACAAACCAGTTGCTTTCCAGGAACCTGGTAGATATGGCAAATGGACGAAAACAGTACATGCAGAGCCCAGAGTTCTTACCCTCCCCCTCTCAGGTAACTACTCTGGCCTATCTACCTTCCCTAGCCAACACCTGGCACACTCCCTACCCGCTAAAGCTCCAGCACAGCCCCCCTGCCAGACTGGTTGCTCCCACACATCTGGCTTTCCTTCCCCAACCCCTACTCCTCCATCAGTACTACCTGACCATGAGGAAAAGGCCCAGGACGCCTTTCAATCCCAACAATGGCATGTAAGTGAGGAGAAAACGGACATAGAAGGTGATCATCCAGGCCAAGTCCTGCAGGAGGAAGGCAGAAGACACAGTTACTGCACACAGCAGCTATTCTCTCCTTTTACCTACTTCTTTGTGTGGTGGAGCCACTCTCCCAGGCACCTGGACTGGAGCACTGATCTTCAGCTTCTCCTCACAGTTGCCAATACTTTTATGGTGCCACTGTCTCCTTTTCCCGACTCCTGTGGCACCACTCTAGCCCTCCTTGCCTGTTGCTTTCAGCGGTGCCCAGGCCTACCAGACCTCCAGCTCCTCTCCAACCGTCTAAATCCTTCATCCCTTCCTCATGATGCCAAATGAAACTTCCAGAGCATGGCTCAGTCCATGCCAGTGCCTTGATGAAATCTCCAAGCATTTTTTTTCTGTATATTGAACCAAGCACCACACTCCTCCACTGACCCCAAGTCCTGTACAACACATCCACTGGTCACACTTGCCCCTCATTTCCAGCTTGTCTGCTTGGTGTCTATCTCCCTGTGCGCCACATCTGTCTGTCACATTCTGCCTGTCCTCTAAGGCCGATGCCTCTTTCCAGCCAGATGCAGTCTGGCCCTGTGTGGAACCCCGAGAACCTTCTGGCTGCACCTCTTCTCTGGTACCAACCAAATTCTGCTTCATCAGAAGTTCCTGAGAGTAGGCACAGTCTCCTACTCATCCCCTGTCCCCAGCACCTGGCTTTAGGCCCAGCACAAGAACCTCAGGAGATACTGGTGAATGAAATCAGGCATTGAGAGACAGGTTGCCTGCTGGGCCCAAATCATTTCATCCCACCTGGAGATGAGGAGCGTCTACACCTGGTTCTCCATGAGTTGAAATCTACCCGATGGCAACTGGTTTGGTTTGGTTTTATAACCTGGCTCTGTTGTTTTGCTCTAAATTAAGGCTGGAGTAAATCTCAATGGGATTCCCCTGGACGGCCCCCTTAACCCTCCCTCAGGGTCCTGGAGACAAAGGATGTGGGACTCTTGTGCCATGGATACTCACCACCCATTTCTTCCGTTGGACAACAAAATAGAAAACATACCACTGGAAGTAAAGAGGCAGCAAGGCTGGGGGCCCAACTGGGGAGGAAAAGGAGACAGGGAGGAGGTGTGAGCGGCATGAGGGTCACTGAAGGGCTGGTCAGAGCCGGAGAGATGGCCTCCAGCATGGGGCTGCCTTGCCATCCCCTCCTGTCACCCCTCCAAGCTGCCTTTGCACTCCTCAGTCCATGGGAATGGCAGGCACTGAAGGTGCAGAGGAACGCAAGTCTGGAGAAGGCAAAGTCTCCCAAGAGGATGCCAGGGAGAGTGACAGGCGGGAGTGGCGTTCTTTTCCAGTGGAAGAGGGCAGCTGGGGCAACCCAAGCACCACACAGAGAACTCGTCCTCCCACACACCTTGAAAGGGCACTGCCAGTACCCCCACGTTGCCCCAGCCATGGCCCTGACCCTGCCAGGAGCCTTCTCACTGAGCCTAGGCCTGTCCCTGCAGTCCTCTGCCCTGTGTTCCTGGCTACTTTGCCATCCAGCTACCTCCATGGGGGCAGGAGGAAAGCAGGGTGGAGGGCATCCTGCTGACGGTTCACAGGCTGAGAAGCCCACTTCCTTGGACTTGGGAGATAGGCTTGTGCCACCCCAACTTGAAACCCTGGAGGCAGGTTGTGGGAAGGAGCAGGGGAGTGCTTCTTTTGAAAGACAACTGGGAATTGAAGAAGTGGATCCTGTCCTTCATGTTGTCCATGTCCTCTTCTGTGTCCCTTCTCCAGCACCCTGATGCTAGCTATAATCCCCTTTATCTCAACGCCCACTCATGCTTCCTCTGTTCTGACATGCCATGGATTCTAAAATCTGTTCTTCCGGATGTTTCTGCTCCACTCTTCCATCTGCATTTCTCCATTGGGGTGGCTGGCCACGGGCAGTTAGGATAAATTCACCCAAACTAAAATGGGGTCGATGGAGTCCCTCCCTCCCTTCCTTTGCGAGGGTCTCTGAATTTTTTTAAGTTTTTAACTCAAGTTTTAGGCATTGTGGAACAAACTTTTAAAGCAGGGAATATATAGTAGTCTTCAGAAAGAGCTGAGGACAACCACAGAAATGTTTCTCCTCCTCCAACAGCATTTCCATTCCCTGGTAGGGTCCAACCTCCCATAGGCATCTGTTCCTTTGCTCCCCTGGGGGTTGCACCGGGCCTCAGGGAGTCCCCTTGGCCCAGGCCTATTTGTCCAGGTTTAAGGTTTCATCAGGAGGGCCCCACCTGATTGCTCAGCTTCTTTGTGGAAGCTAGGGTAGGATTAGAGGAACTAGTTTGTCCTTAACACAAATGACCTTTAACCAAATGTTAGCCAAACTGATGACTATGCTCAGTTGTGATGACAGCTGGTCCCACACAGAGAGTAACTGGGATGAGGGTGGGGGTAGGCTGCATAATTCCTTAGTGAGTCATTTCCTCCTCACGCCCCCTTAGCACCCCCCATGCCTACTCCAAGGCAGTTCCCTTGAGTTGGATGAGGACACTCACTCAGGAAAAAGTATTTGTGCTGGTGGTTGTATGGCATGTACTTTTTCTTCTGTTTCCCAAGCTGTGAAGGAAAGCAAACACGTCAGCATGCACGGAGCAGCAGTCACTCATCTCCCCCATGCCTGTGACCTTGGCTTTCTCCTGCTCAGGAGTTTAGGCCCACTCCAGGGGCTGTTGGTGCTACTGGAAGGCTCCAGCAGGCCCAGCCTTACCTCCAGCACATGGGGCATAAAGCCCTGGGCTGCAGTCTGGCTGAGTGCACCATGCCATGGCAAGCAGCTATGACCTATGCCCCCATGACGCCATCACAACATAGTCTACAGGTCCCTTATGTTCATCGAAAGACACCTTGTCACAAGATGTCCAGGCCTCACCTCCCTCTCCCCTTCCTTTCTCCCACCTGGTAGTTTTTCTGAAATCAGAGTTTCCACGGACAACTATTTTTACCCCTACCCAGGTAATTATTCCCTCTACAGCCAGCCCCTGATCCTCCCCATCAAAAAAAATTTTTTTTCTCTTGACTTCGTGAGTTTTATAAAATCCCTTGAAAACTCAGCAAAGTTTGGCAAATGTGCCAAGGATAACAAGAAAAACCTGGCAACGTGCAGGTCCTGGCAAGCTTTTTCCCAGCGGGTGGTAGTTATTTTGTAAGCCTAAGGGCTGAGGAAACAGGCTGGGGCTGCCAGGTCAACAGATCAGCCCTGAGACTTGAGGGCGACGAACTCTAGCGTGGGCTCGCAGATGTGGCGGCAAACCTCTGCTGTCTCACTCGGTGGCTCCTTCTGCTCCTCTCACCCCACTTAGTTCCGGCAACCAGGTGACCTCAAGGGCACCAGAGGAACCCTCCACCCTAGAGCAGACTGTGGGGCTCATCCCTTCATCATGCATCCGCCCACCGTTTTGACAGGTAATTTATTGAGAGCTTATTCTGTGGAAGGCACATCTGCTAAATGAAGCGTTCTTTCTACATGAACCGATTCATTCAGCCACTACTTATTAAGCACCTGCTATGTGCCAGGCACAGTTTGTTCTAGGTGCTGAGGATAGAGGTGAACAATACAAAATTCCTACCCCCGTGGAGCTTATAACCTGAGTAGAGGAAGCTGATGATAAATCCTTAAACAACATAACTGCAGATTAAAAACAGGCAAACATGAGAGTGAGGGCGGAGGCATTTTTGCTACCGTGGTCAGCTGTGACCTCCCTGAGGCACTGACATCTGAACCGAGACCTCAGTGATGAGCTGGCAGTGCAGATTCAGAGGGAGAGCTTTAAAGCAAAGGTTCTTGGGGTATTCAAGGGACAGAGAGGAGGCCCATGTAACTAGAGAATAGCAAAGAACAGGGAAGAATGGGAGACTAACTGATAAGGTGAGAAGACTAGGGAGGGGCCAGGTGAGGTACAGCCTAAGAAAGGCCTGGTAAAGCCACTGTAAGAAGTTTGGATTTTATTCCACCAGCGAAGGGAAGCCATTGAGGATTTTCAACAGGGGTGTGGCATCATCTGCTTTGTGCTTTAAAACCTCTTTGCACTTTGTGCTTTCAAACCTCTGGCTGGAGGTAGGAGAATGAACTATAGGGCGCAGGTATAACTACAGGGAGACCAGTGACGAGGCTGGAACAATAATCCAGACCAGAGATGGCTTAGAATGGGGGCAGGAAAACCAGTGGAGATGGAGAAGTCGATGGATCTGAGATGTGTTTTAAAGGCACTATAAACAAGGCTTGCTGATGAACTGGATATAAGGATGAGGTTCATCCCATCCTGAGCAACACTGAGATGGGAAAACTAGAAGAGGAGCGACAAACCAGTGGGGTGGGTGGGACAGAACCCTGGCTGCCTGTTTCGGAGTTGTTATGGAAAGGAGTCCTGTCCATTGCTGCCTCAATAAATAGAAATCAAATGTCACCTCCTAATAACATTGCCCCAGTGATTGTGTTTAGACCCTCAGAGGCCAGAAGGGCTCTAATAAGGGTGAAGTGTCCTGTCACCACCTTGTCTTCCACAGGGTCAGGAGGAACCATGGTGGATGCCACTGGGTCAGCCGACACCAGTGCCCACTTGCTAAGCTGTACCCAGAAGGGCTGAACCAAGCTCCAGGAGCCTGGCCAGGCATTTACTAACAGGCACGCTACCCTGTCCTCACCTGCAGATACTTTTATAGCTAGGAACACACACACACACGCACACATACACAAAGGGTATTTTGGATCCCAGGTCTCTTCATTCTCTATTTTTGATGTCTACAGATAGGACTTTCCTAGTGGTGCAGTGCTTAAGAGCTCAGCTGCTAACCCAGCCGAAAGGTCATCAGTTCAAATCCACCAATGGCTCCTTGAAAACCCTATGGGGCAGTTCTAACCTGTCTTACAGGGTCGCTGTAAGTTGGAATCTACTCATTGGCCATGGGTTTGGTTTTAATGGGTAAGAATCAATAAAGGAAGTGGCATAAGAAGCTTCTCTTCCACGCAGCCTTCCCACCTTTTCCCTAACCACCTACAGTGACAGCAGAAGTGCTACCAAGAGCCTTGTGCTACTGCCCAGTAAGTAACCCACCTGCTCCCGATGCAGCCATCTGAGCCAGGTGAGGGGCCAGGGCTGGTTCACCGTCCACACACTGCTGACCATACACAGTGCTGATCATGTAACAAATGAATTAAGTCCATGCTTAGGAGATGGGAATATTAGAACATTACGGACAGGTGGGGCATAGAGCCTCACACTGTGAGCTCAGCTCACGACAGTTAGTCCTGCTAAAGCCCTTTCAGAGTTCTTGTGACCAGAGGGGAGAGAAGAGCCAGACTACCTTCAACTAAACCCTGCTTGATGACAGTTTAATTCCTGGTATGCTGAAATTTCATCAAGTGGGGGAGAGGCACGTGGCAAAACTGCAGCCTGGAGCCTTGAGACCAGGGGTTTTAAATGAGCTTTTCAAAGAAGTCTGCTGGCCACTTAAAGACTTCTATTGCTTATGCTCACTGAAAGTGCATTGGATCTCCAGTCCCGGCATTCTTTCTTGAGTAGCTGCATTAAGATTTTTTGCTCCCAGCCTCAGATGACAACTCAAACCCAATACTGACCACCCTGGAAGCCAGGCTGGGATCAGATGAGTGGAAGAATTAACTCGATGAATGAATTACTCAGTTCCAGACCCCAGGCTAAGTGCAGGGCATCAAAGAGGAGTAAGACAGTGCAGCCCTTGATGGGGAAGACTGACGTAATAAGATATCAGATGTGCTAGAGAGGAATACAAAGTCCTGGGGAATGACCACCTAGGCTAGAGATATCAAAAAAGCACCCCCGAGGAAGTGACATCCATCGCCTTCAAGGGTCAGCAGAAATTTGCACAGTAATCTGGTCATCCTTTGGACCTTTGGTGTCATGTGGTACTATTATTCAATAACTATTTGTTGACTTGAATGGACCAGGGAGGATGTATGACTCTGTCCCAGGTGGCCCCGGTTTACTGCCTCCCAGAACTTGTAAACAGCACAGGCCCTAGCCTGTCTTACCCATGCTGACAATATTATAAGCACCTTCTCCAAAGCCCTCTGTGCTGGCTGACTTCCATTCCCCACGACCTTTCCACTGATACCTCTGCTCACCTCCACAGAGAGGATCTTCCCCAAGGCAAAGAAGAAGGGATGCATGCTGATGTCTGGGTCTTTGAGGAAGCAGTTGGGCTTGGCATGGTGCTGAAAGTGCATGTGGTTCCACCAGCTGGCAGGGGCCCCCTACAGCAAAGAGGAACATGGGTATAAAAACCTAGTATTCCCCAACCCTACCCCCAGCAGCCATTCATCAAGTGGGGTTTCAGAGAGCCCCTTCCCTTCCTATTGACCTTCAGGTGGCCAATCACAAAATGATGTAACAGGTGGTTCCATGTAGAGGTGCTGAAGACAGACAGATGCCCAAAGTCATGCTGCAGCCAGCCAGCCTGGGCCTAGGAGAGAAAGGGTAGCACTGAGCAGCCCACCAGCCCAGCATCCCTCTTGCAGACCTCAGCGGCTCCTTCAGCCTCTCCCTCTCCTTTCATCCACCCAGGCCTGTGATGGCTGCCCTACCCAACAGCATATCAGAAGAGCAGTCAGGACAGCTGGGTCCTAATTGTGGCTCTGCCACTAACTCACATGAGAGTTGGGGCAAATCACTATCCCTTCTCTGTTCCTCAGTTTCCCTAACTCTCAAATTCCATGGCTCATGGTGGACTGAACATTCAGAATATGGAAAAGGACAGAGAGTGGCAAACTCAGAGGGGCAGAAAGCTTGGCAAATGGGTTCTCACAGCCAGGTATTAGGGCCAAACAGTTATTAGCGTGTTGGGCAATGTAGAGGGTAGGGAGGGAGTGAAGCTTTTCTGAGAAACCAGAATCTTGGTTCTCGGCTCATTTGGGCTGTGGCAGAACCTGAATGTGACCTTTTGGAGGAGAAAGGAGCCTTGGGAGGAACAGCTGGAGAGGCAGTGAGAGAAACGAACATGTGCATATGGCTAATGAGCAGATAAAAGCTACAGGCAAGAGAATGCATGTTCTTTTTCTGTACCAACTCTCCAGTCTATCTTTGGCTCTTGCCAGCTCAGATGGCATGGCTCCCTGGCCTCCTGAAGGGTACAGAGAACGTTCCCCAGGGATGCTAGGCATGTCTGTGTGCATGGCAAGCCAAGGATTCTCACCTGCACTGCAGTGAGCAGCACTACACAGAGGACGAAGGGAACAAAGGACGTCCCAAAGAGCCAAAGAGTGAGCCAGGCAGTGACATCCATCAGCAGGATGTGCAGCAGGTACAGCAGGAAGAAAACATGGTTGGCATTCATGAGCCCCATTCGCTCCACTGAGGTCCGAAGCTCCCGGAACTCATTGGTCAGCTCTTTCTGTGGAAGGAGAGGGAAGGGAGTGGCCCATTATTCTTCCCAGCTGTAACCCTCGGGCCCTCTATTGGCTCAAGGACCACCCTACCCACCAAGGTAGCTATGGGAAGTCCACAGTCCTAGGTAAAGACACCAAAATATTGAATGAGGATGACAGTAGGAGGTGATACAGGATCAGGCCCAAGAGCATGTGATCTTTGGAGTCGAGCTGACCTGATTGACGTTGCTACTCTGCCACTTACTATGTGATCCTTGGCCAAGTTGTTTAACTTACCTAAGCCTCAGTTTTCTCATCTGTAAATGTGTGAGGATTATATGAGGTCATGTTTGGCACACAGTAAGTGCTCAATCAGTAGGTCTCATGTTGGTGATGATGATGGTGGTAGCAGTGGTGGTGGTGGCCTTGGGAGGACCAAAGCCCTGCTCCCTTTGGCTTGTGACCCCATGACTATGCAGGAGAAGCAGGGGCTCAAGACTCCCAGTAATCCTATCTAAACCTTCCTTCTATTCCCTGCCCCTCAACCACCACAAGGTCTCACATTTTTGGTGGGCTCAAAGCTGGGCTGCTCCGGAGACAGTTCTCCAATCAGGAGAGAGTCCATATACTTTCTCACAAGGCCCTTGTTGATGTGGAATGCCATAAAGGGGTCCTGCAAGGATGGGGAGAAAGTAGAAAGGTGAGGAAGCCAGCCCCAACTTCCTGGCCTCCTGGAGGGCTCATACCAAAGGCCATCCTCCTGATCCAGCACCCCAATCTCCTGCCAGCAAGGAGGCTGTAACCAAGTTCAAACAGAGAATCCCTCCCTCCAGCCATCTGCACTTTGAGGGTGCTCAGACCCTTCCCAGGTATCCACAGCTCAGGATCACCCACAAAGACCTGCCTGGGCTGGCCTTTCCCCTGGGTGTACCTAGGGACAGCTTTTGCATATGAATGAGTGTAGATAAGGAAGAGAACAACTGGAAGGGAAGGATGGGGCTATGAGACTAATCTGTCCCTTGTTGTGAACTTTTAACCTTTTTGTGACCCAATTATTCTCTGCTTTGAATTTCTTGTTGATACCACAGGTTTTCATTAATGGAAGCATGCTGAATCATTGAGTGCGTCTGAATTTTTTATAGGTAGTATGGATTTTTTGTTGTTGCCCCTTCCCACAAGCTTACCCTAAGAGTTCAGCGATACATATGAAGTACCACTAATTATACCCCAGAGTCCCACCAGGGATCTGTTGGTACATATGTATAACAAAAGTTTTCAAAATTTCTATTTTTCCTACCCAAAATTCAGACACCTCATACAATACCCTATGAAAACAGTAATTTGCGGAACACGCCGATTTCTTCGGTTTCAGTCATAAAGGCCCCTGCCTTGCGGTAGCACACACTGTCAGTGGTATAGCAGTGGTTTATTGAACCCCAGAGATTGACAAAGTTTATGGTCGCTATATGTACCGCCGGGCACGAAAGGGTTTAACAAGCCCCTTCCCTCTCAGAGCCAGTGTTCTCCATAAAATGTGAAGGAGCAGTGGTGACTCCCTATGTCCGAACTAGGAAACTTTTGCATTTGCCCCTTCTCCCCCCACCCTTTGTCCTCATCGCTGACTTAGGTGGGGTTCCATATTTTCCGCAGCTCTCTGACCACCCCCTGCCCCAGGGTGGCTAATTTTGGTTATGTGGGGAGGAGAAGCTTCAGCCATGAGATCCATATCCGCAGGTCCAGCGGCTCCAGGCCCTAGCGGAGAAGCGGCGTGCAGGGCGGGGGCCAGGGCGGAGCCGGCGGCCGGTGGCACCACACATCGGGACCAATCGCTGTCCCCGCCGCAGCCATCCCTGGCCCCAAATCACACTGCAGGAAGCCGTGGTGTCGGGGCCTCCTCCCTCTGCGCATGCGCCAGCCCACGCCTGCGTCTTCGGCCGCCGTCTGGGCTCCCGAGTGGTCGCCTGGGGTGACCCGTGCAGGCTCCGGCCTCAAGCTTCAGGTCGGCAGCGGCTGCGTCAAAGGGGGGACGGGCGTATGTCTCCTGCGGCATCTAAGCTCCTCTGAGACACAAAGGAACCCTGTGGCCAGAGATCTCCGAGATGGCTAAGGTGGAGGGTGGGGACAGCGGAAGGAGTTACGCAACTGAGCGCAGCTGGAAAAGGGATACAAGGGGAAGGGACGCGATTCCTACAGCCCAAGTGGGGGAAGGCGGTGAAGCGAAAGACCCAACTTTCCCTGGTGCTCTAGCTCAGCGGGGAGGCGTCGGGTGCCTTAGCTCCGAGTTTGGCCGGTCTAGGAGAAACAGCTGCACCGGAAGTGGGGTGTGCGCAGACCCCACAGAGTGAGGCCCAAGTGCGAACGGTTGTCCACTGCGGCAAGCAGCTGGACAGCCCGCTGGCCTGCGGCTCAGTGACCTCCCGGCAGGATTCGAGGACGACTCCGGGAGTCCTCGCTAAGTGTATGCTGATGCACTCCCAGCCCCGGCACGCCGCTCCCGTTCCCCTCTTTGCGCCTGCAGCCGATTGTCTTTTCCGGCCGGTGGCGTCCCTTCCCCGCCAGGCTACCGGGGTTCCCAAGGCAGCTGGCGCTCCGTGACTTCCTGTTTCAGCCCCACCCCGTGAGTGGTTCCCGCTCCTGTTCCCTCCCCGCTCCCGCGCCGGAGTGGGGCCTGCACGCTCCATCCAGATGCGGCTGCGCTCCCCCTCCCAGCCTCCTAGACCGGACGTGACTCCCTCTGCCACTGACCCCTCCTTCCCTGGCGCCCTGCACTCTCGCTCCTCTCCCTCCTACCCCTGCTCCCGGCCCTGAGACCGCTGGCTCCGACCACGGGCAGAAAGCGCGCACGGGCAGGGCAGCCCTTTGTTTCTGGTTGCACGTTACGGCCCTCCAGCCCCAGTCCTCACACTCCCGTTTTCAGAGCCTGTCTCCTGCCCTTGCATTCCCGTGGCCGCAGCACACCCAACCACCCAAGCAACAGGTACGCTCTGGCTCCTCCCGGCTTTTCTCAGGCCCTGGGTGCCAAATTTCCAATCCCGCTCCCGCGGTGCCCTGCAGCGCTCACCGTGGCATCCTGCCCCGCGTAGTGGCTCATGACCCGGGAGCCCCCCGGGTGCCGGCGGATAAACTTGCTGATGTTGTACACTTTCCGCTCAATAACGAGCCACCGCTCCTTGTTCCCGGAGCGCTGCGCCACCTCGTCCCAGGTGAAGTAGCGCGGGGCCGGCTCCGCGGCTGGAGTCTTGGCAGCCACCGGGTCGGGGGCCATCTCTGGCCTGGCACTGCCGCGCGCTGGCCGGGCAGGGAGTGTTAGGCGCGCGGCCCCGGCCCGTGGAGTAGCGCGCGCCGGCCTCCCGTGCTCGGGAAGCGGGTCCGCTGGCGCGCGCCCGAAACCCACCTCTCGCGCGCCGGGTTTTCAGCACCAGAGACGCGGACCGCCGAGCCTCGCAGCGCGCGCTCTCATTGGCTGAGCCGTGTGGCGCGGGGAGCGAGGCTGCGCCTTCCTGCCCAGCCCTGCGCGGGCGGCCCTGGGGCTCTGGGCGACCCTGGGGCCGGCGGAAACTCTCGCCACTTCCTGGGCACTTCAGAGGGGTCTCCACCTGGTTATACTTCCCGATTTGCCGCTCTCGGAGTGTTGAGGCCTTCGCTACGAGGGGGCCCCAAGCCAAATAACGGTTCCTGGGGGAGGCTCCCGTGTGCAGGTTCCCGGGCATGCTGAGGCGGCGGCCCAGAGTGCACGGGCCGTTCGGGGTTCCCGGGTGAGAGTTGGCCAGGCAGGTGGGGGCGGCGGCCAAGCTCGGTGAATGTGTGCTGTAGGGGACAGGGGGCGTGAAGGGTAGGCAGGTCCACGGGCCAAGGCCATCCCCAGGACAGAGGCCGTCTTTAGGCTGTGGACGTGCACGCCAAAGTCTTCAAATGTTGATAGGATGGACCTGATAATGCCGCCGCCTCGCCTTGCCGGTTCCACCTGTTGTACAGCCTGAAGGAAGTCTGTTAGCAGTCCGCTAGTAATAGCAATTACCTTGTGAACAGTGTAATTATTGTTTATTGGGGTTTTTTTGGAAGAGGAAGAGTTGTTTATGCTTTTATTTGCTCGATATAACATTAAAATGCCCCACAATGTTTGTACCCTGTTTGACTGGTTTTTTATTTTTTTAATACGCTGGGATTTCTGGGAAGCCCTGTGTGTCTTCAAGCTAATGCATTTCCATTCAGTCCTGGGAGCCATGTTGTTGGTCAAGTTGATTCTGACTTATGGCGACCTCGTGAGAAAAACCATGGGGTTTTCAAGGTTATGATCTTTCAGAAACGGATCGCTAGGCCTGTTTTCCGAGGCGCCTCTGGGTGAGTTCAAACCGCCAACCTTTCGGCTAGTACAACACTTAACCGTTTGCATCACCCAGGGACTCTTCTGGGTGCCATAGGAGGCTTTTAGGGTCTCTGGGTTTAGGAAGAGAAATGGGAAAGCACCCAAAGACTGGGGACCTTGTGGAGAAGCTGTTGCAGTCCTGCAGGTGGGAGATGATGAAAAACACATTGCCGTCAAGTCAACTAATAGCGACTCTATAGGACAGAGTAGAATTGCCCCATAGGGTTTCTAAGGCTGTAAATTTAGGGAAGCCGACTGCCACATCTTTCTCCCGAAGAGCGACGGGTGGATTCTATCAGCTGACCCTTCGGTTAGCAGCCAAGTGCTTTAATCACTGAGCTACCAGGGCTCACTGGGAGATGAAGAGACCCCAGATTCAGGAGCTAAATTTTCTTTTATTTATTCAACAAACACTTACAAAGCATTTATGTGCCAGGCAGTGCTCCGGTTTATAAATATTAATTTAGTTCTCATAACAACTCTATGTGATAGGAACTATTGTTAACATCATTTACAAATGGAGAAACTGAGCCACTTAGAGGTGAAATATTTTGTCACACAGTTAGTGAATGGCAGGGCAAGCTTTGAACCTGGCCTGTGTTTTGAACCCCTAGGCTCTGCTGTCTCTCCTCTGAATGCAGTAGTATTTGGGCACTTTGATGTGACTCTACAGCCAAGGGAAAGGAAGCCTACCTTTATCCTAAGCCATGAGCTAGAGTTGGAGCCCCTAGGAGTCAACAAGGCTGATACAGAGTCAACAAGGAGAAATACGGCCAGATTTCTGGTAGAAAAAGCTCATGTGTCCTGCCTTCTACTTAAGATGCCAGGCTACTGCACATTGCTCAGGGATGAGCTAACTGCCCCCTTGTATGGCCAATATTCTTTTTTTTTAAAAACCTGTCCAGCAATTTGGCATTGTGTAACAAAAGCTGTAAAATGGTTTGTAGTCTTTGATTAAGTAATTTCACTCTTGGGAAAGTGAGGGGTGGCAGAAGTATGCAAGATGTTTATAAACCAAACCCATTGCCATTGAGTCAGTTCTGACTCATAGCGACCCTATAGGACAGAGTAGAACTGCCCCACAGGATTTCCAAGGAACAACTGGTTTGGTCAGCTGAGCTCTTAACCAGTGCGCCACCAGGGCTCCAAAATGTCAGCCCACTGCGATGTCTATAGCAAATTTAAAAGCAAAAACTGGGAACAATCTCAAGTCCCTTCAATAAGAAAATTGCCAAGCTCACTGGGATATGTTAGCACAATGAGGAATTCAGAGTGATTAAAAATGACTAGGATGTGAACTCTCTTGCTAGGTAGAAAATACTTCTCAGTGAAAAAGGCAGAACCCAAAGTAGTACGTACTCACTAACGACAATTATGTAAGAAAGCCAGAAGTATGAAATAACAGAAGAGAATCTGCTGTGATGAAAACATTTCATAGTTTAACACTCTTAAGTTTATTTTTTTCCTGTAAAGTTGCTTGATTGAGCTCATTAAGTTGTTTTTTTTTTTTTTAAAGGACCTTATTTGAATCATTGTACCTGTAGTGAAGGTGCAATGGGATAGAAGCTCTTTCCACTGCTGGTGGGAGTGTAAATTGATTAACCTTTCTGGAAAAAGTTTGGCAACTTTATTAAGAACCTTTAAAAAAACTTCCCAATGATTCCACGTTTAGGGATTAAACCCAAGGAAATCTTTTTGGAAAAACGTTTATAAACAAAAAATATTCATTGAAGCACTATTTATGATAGCAAAATATGGAAACAAGCTAAATGTCCATCAATGGAATATTATGAAGATGTTAAAAATAATGTGATGAAATTTAACAGTAGAGGAGGTGAATCGCTCTGTAGAGAAAGACTAGAAGGAAATGAGAATAGTGATTATTTCTGGATGGGTGAATCAAGGTAATTTATATTTTCTTCTCTTTAATACTTTCTGAATTTTCTGCAAGGAGCATGTGTTACTTTTACAATCGGGGGGAAAAAGGTTATTTTAAAAAAACATACTATTATGGATTGAATTGTGTCCCCCCCAAAAATGTGTGTCAACTTGGCTAGGCCATGATTCCCAGTTTTGTGTGGTTGTCCACCATTTTGTGATCTGATGTGATTATCCTATGTGTTGTAAATCCTAACCTCTATGATATTAATGAGGCAGGATTAGAGGCAGTTATGTTAATGAGGCGGGACTGCAATCTACAGGATTAGGATGTATCTTGAGTCAGTCTCTTGAGATATAAAAGAGAGAATCAAGCCGAGAGGAGAGGGATTTCATTCCACCAAGAAAGAAGCGCCAGGAGCGGAGTGTGTCCTTTGGACCTGGGGTCCCTGCACTGAGAAACTCCTAGGTTGGGGAAAGATTGATAATAAGGACCTTCCCCCACAGAACCAACAGAGAGAAAAAGCCTTCCCCTGGAACTGGTGCCCTGAATTCAAACTTCTAGCCTCCTAGACTGTAAGATAATAAATTTCTGTTTGTTAAAGCCATCCACTTGTGATATTTTTGTTATAGCAGCACTAGATAACTAAGACATGTACCACTTGTAGGGTTAGTCCTCAGTTAACCCCACATACCTCCACATACCTAAAATAATGCCATTTCACTCAACATTTATGGAGTGTCTACTCGTTGTTAGTGACTTCAGTAGGTGCTGAGAATACAAAGTCCAATACTGTATGGTCCATGCCTAGCTTAAGTTCAGTGTGGGAGACAGACAAGTAAATCACTGATTATAGGTCAGAGTGATAAATGCAAGAAGGGGCCCTGGTGGCACAGCAGTTAAAGCGCTTGGCTGCTAACCGAAAGGTCAACGGTTTGAACCCACAAGCTGTTCCATGGGAGAAAGATGCAGCAATCCGCTTGTGAAAAGATTTACAGCCTTGGAAACCTATGGGGCAGTTCTACTCTGTCCTATAGGGTCACTATGAGTCGGAATTCAACTCAATGGGTTTGGGTTTTGGTATGATAAATACAAACTACTTACTCTTTCTGATTCTCAGCATTTAAGATGTTTGTGTGACATGAATTTGCATTTGTATTTCTGGGTATTTGTTCTTATGTCGGTGTCAGATATTTTGGTTACCTCCCTAACTACATTATAATCTGGGCCAGGGAGTGTAGATTCTATTTAGTATTATCTGATATGCATGCAAAAGCTGGACAATGAATAAGGAAGACTGAAGAAGAATTGATGTTTTTGAATTATGGTGTTGGCAAAGAATATTGAATATACCATGAGCTGCTAAAAGAATGAACAAATCTGTCCTGGAAGAAGTACAGCCAGAATGCTGGAGAAGGACGTCATGCTTGGTAAAATAGAGGGTCAGTGAAAAAGAGGAAGACCCTCAAAGAGATGGATTGACACAGTGGCTGCAACAATGGGCTCAAGCATAGCAAGGGTTGTGAGGATGGTGCTGCGTTTCGTTCTGCTGTACATAGGGTTGCTAGGAGTTGGAACTGACTTGACAGCACCTGACAACAACAACAATTATCTGATATATATTCAAAGTCCCTAGTTTGGAGTTCTGTGTGGAATCCATAACTTTGTTGAACTAACTGATGGTTTCAGCCTGAAGAAATACAGGTGAGCATAGAGGCCACTAGGCAGATGTCAAGTTGCCCTCTCATGTCCTTATCCTTTTATACAGATGGTCATACAAACTGTGGAAAACCCATTTCCGGGCCCGAGTGGTAGCCAGCTAGGCAAATCCTTGCCTCGTGGGCTCTGCTGATCATAAGTAAACTTCCCTTATCCAGGATATGAATCACGTGCTTAAGCCTAGGTTGGGACTCATGAATACACTTCATTGTTCTGACTAAATTTACTACTCTGGGGACAAAGAGAAATCAGCTCAAGACCCTAATGCCATTTCTAATCAGGTCTATCTGAGTAACATAATTACTATAGGCCATTAGAATAGCCCAAGATGCAAGTTCAGATTTTGATCTGTTTTGACAAGGGATTATAAACCTAATAGTCAAACAATGGGCTGGATTCCTTACAAAGTCAACAAGCGCAGGAGGA